GTTGAATTGCCGAATATAGGCTACGCTACAATAATACAGCAGGGGAATTTTGGGAAATACACTAATTTGCTTGAGAGTTATATGAGGACATCAACACAACTCTCATGTTTGTACTCTAAATATGAAGCGACAGTCATTAGCTGGTTAGCTTAGCATAGCATAAAGAGTGGAAATGGGGGAAACAGCTACCCTGGTCTTGTCCAAAAGCAAATCTGTAAAAATGACATGTTGTGGTTTTACAGAAGGTTATGTGCAGGGAAAGTTCTTGGCCGGGCTCAGTGACTAAGCTAAGCTAACCAGCCACTGGCTGTAGCTTCATATTTAGCGTACAGACATTTTTCCTTTTTCCTTTATAACGGTGCACATATAGACTCCTAGAAAGAACACAACTTGTAATTTTTATGCCTCAGTTTTTGTATGAATTGAACAAACATGATACATGATGTGTAAACTGATGTGCTTTAGAGGAGCCGGTAGACAGATTTTGTCATCTTTGGTTGTAGCCATCCTAGCTGTTTCCCCGATTCCAGTCTTTGTGCAAAGCTAAGCTTCAAGTGCAAACATGAAGGTAGCATCAATCATCTGACTCTAATCAAGAAAGCAAATATGAATATTCCCCAAAATATTGAACAGTTTTTTAAGTAGCATAAAATTGATGTACTCAAAATTCAAAATTGAAGAAGACAGGGATGTAGTCAAAAGGTTTTTCAAAAGTTTTGAAAAATGACTTGTGAAACATGATAGTGATGTGTTTTTGTTAGTGTTGGACAAACAAGCTCACAGAATGTATAAGCTACATTTTAATGAGAAGAGCTGTTGTTGCAAATGAAAAAAAAAAAAAAATCCTTTAACGATTTGACTACTTTATCAAACGATGAACCAGTAGTTCAGTGTGAGAATATCTGTAAGCTCTATCAACAACTTCTGAAAAAAGGAACCAACATCTTCTGCTTTTCTGTTAAAGCAGGACAGATAATATCCCCCACTGTCACTCTCTGTGCAGATGTTCTCAGTGTTAGATAAGAAAATTCAAAGTCACTCTTGTGGACAGCTCTGTCGGCAGCCGTTCAAGCTCTGTTTCTGTAGAACTGATTTCACAATGGAGAGAAGCAACTGTCCAGTCATCGCTCTGCAACAGTTTCAGCAGTTAATATGGGTTCACACTGGGAGTGGAGGGTGTGGTTGGCAGAAGAAGGGGCAATAGTGGTCATACATTTGTCCCCTCTGAATTGTAATTTCCTGAGCTTATTTTGAGGGGGGGGTGGTTTTCACCCCCCACACTGATGTAATATCAGCAAGGAGCCTCATCAATAACTGTTTTGTTGCTGCCCACTCATGTTTTCATTGTAAAAGTAACAAAATAGAATTGAAAGAAGATGACATTGAGATCTGGGTGGACCAGAGATGACTTGCAGAAAGTCACACGTCAACAAATGTGTTCACAGGCACACCACAGATAAGAAGACTGCACTCTGCTGACAAGTAACACACTCGTCTTTCCTGCCTCTTTTTCTCACTGCTGATTGCATTTATAGTCATTTACATATAGCCACACTGTGAAGATCAATATAATTCACAACTTTAAACACAACTTATTCCCTTCATTTCAAAGATAAAGAGAAAGAGATGTTATTACATCTGCAACATGCATGTATGCCATTAACACTTTTGCAGCTCCCTGCACATTTTTCAGAGTTAGAATAAAACTGATATATAGCAGTTACACATCTTTGTCCTGTGTGAAATAAAGTGCATGAGAAATAATGAGTACTCGCCTAACCAAATCAGTTCTGCTGAAACTAAATTGAGTTCTGCTAAGTTTAACACCAGATATCAGGGACAGCAGAGATGCTATGGTGATGAAGTTTCTGTGTGAAAGGCTGCATTTTTCTCCAGCCAACATGTGACTGGTGCTTTACACCCCATGCAGAAACAGACAAGAGTGATGTTTTCCGTGTGAAAATATGTCAAAGTGGCAGACCACAGATTTCAGAGAATCAGCAATAAGGACCAGGCACTTGATGCAGAGCAGAAATGGTGGAGAATATGTGGTCAATCTAGTGTCACATTTATAGAGACAAGAAAATGTTTTCACAAGATTAAATTAAATATATGAAGTGCATTTCACAAGCAGAGAAAACAGAGTAAAGATAACCAAAAGAGATTTTAAAATGTCCAACACAGGTAATAAATAAATGCACAGACATACACACGATGGCTTATTTAGGCTTGACTATGCCCGTTGAACTCTGACCTTTCAAACAGCCGTCTAACCCCCAGACATGCACAGAGACACAATGACCAGGAAGCGCTGGCTAGGTTTCTTCACATCCACACACCAACGTCCCAGAAGAGATACTCAGTATTTTGGGGGGAAATTTACAACCAGAAACGGGCTGGTTGCAAACAAGTGGAGCTGCTGATCACAGTGATGGATGAGGGAGGTGATTTGTGGAGTGTTTATAGCATAAATCCTGGCATCTGTTTTTGTGTAACGTGAGAGTTTGTTTTCATTGTTTCCTCAGTTTTTCCCATTTTCAAGGTTTTTTTTTTTGCAAGAAATCTGAGCCAAAGTTTCAGGATCCTACAGCAATAGTCAGAGTTAAATGAGAATGATCATCCTATAAATCAATGACATAAATCAGATCAGTTTATGGTAGCACAGACAGAAACTCCCCTGCTGCTGAAGGACAGGAATATTTTAAGTGAGAACTAAATGAGAAAAACAAGACGTTTGTGGACCTCCTGTGTGAAAGAAGAACTGTCTTGCGGTCAGCAGCATCCAGTAAATCATTCATTGTGTTCACGCTCGGTTCCTATCTGGTGGCTGCAGCTGAGAGCCCGATGAGATTCAGCCGGCCACTCCCGGTGGAAGGGGGGCTGCATGCGGTTGAACCTGAGGAAAAGGACTAAATCAGATTGTAGTTAAAGGAAAAGGGACGGAGATAGTTTAAAAGAGAGAGTGAGGGGGTTGCTGCACTGTGGTTAGAGTTCTGGAGCCAGAGGAACCTGTGAGGAGATGAGATAGCATGATGTGGTTTTCACTGCGATGCCACAGCAGAGTGGTGGGGCAGAGGTGAGTGCTCAGACTGAGTATCTAGGACTAAACAGGGACGTAAAACCTGGGAAAGTCAGTTTAGCCACAGTAAGCTATAATGGCATGAACTCAATGCATGAAGTATATTGAATAAAATTATTTTTTATGACTAAGTAGTACTACAGTGTTTTTAGAGCTGCAGAAAAGTCAACTGAATGAACTTGAAATATTTTTATTTTCATCAGCAAGAGCAAAAATCTGGCTTAGTTTCACTTTTCAATAGTCTGACTTGAAGAGAGACTATATAACTTTTTAAAGAAAAAAATAACACTGTCTCTCTCTTACAAACAAAAAAATTAATCAATTCACAATCAAACACAACCTTGTTCAGTTCAATACAATCAGGGGTTTCATTGCTACAGTCTTGTTTGGTCTGGTATGACCAGTAGCTCAGGGAGGCTAATGTTAGCTTATGTTAGCAAACTTTAGCTCAATATTGCAACATAGCAGTTAGTGAGATTGTACACTGACTTCTTGATCTTCTTTACTCATGTTACTCTTAGCATTTATGAACTTAGCCACCGCATGCAGTCACAATGGCGACACAGTTACATAGTCGCACTATAAACTGAAGCAGGCTGAACTGCAGTGTGACAAAATCAAGACAAAATGTTGCCAAGCTGCTGTGCTCTGTGCTCCACTTATCAACATTCACATACATGTGGTATTAAAGCTGCGACCTCAGGTATATTTAAAACTACGAGGAGCCCCTACAGTCTGTCTGTCTGAAAGGGGCTTGAAGCTGAGCTTGAGAAAATAACCTCATGGCTCACCAACACAAGCCTTTATTTAACCCCATGACTGTGATCTGCATCTTTGACAAGATAGACAGCTGCTGCTGCAAAGAGTACGAAAGACAAAATGCAAGAACAATCCCCTACCCCCCACCTCTGGACTGTGATCACTGCGATTGGGCCTCTATTTCAATCACATACTTTCTGTAAAAGAGTGAGAATCAAGGCCTGTGGGTGAGGAGGTGGTGGGGTGAGAGTTGAGTGAAGGGGGAGGGGGGGGGGCTTACAGAAACAAGAGAGGAGGCTGTGGTAGCACTGATAGCGTCTTTTCGTCTCTGCGTTTGGTTTCCTGTTCTGAGTTGGTGTGTAACTTTGAGTTTGAACGTTGTCACATCACCACTGTCCCTGTATCTCTCACTGCAGTAAGTCAGCAGCTGAATTTCAATGATGTCCTATTTATGACCATTTAGATTAAAAAAAATACATGTTTAACTACATGAATGTTTTTCATGAGGTGTGACTGAGCAACCAAGAACTAGACAGATAAGGTTTTCTCCCCACACTGTAGGTCACCATATGTTGTAGAAATTTGAGATATACTTTAAGACATATTTAGCTCCAGTCTGGAACATCAAACTTATGTCTGATATTGTGTCTTTGCTCATACTGTGTGAGAAATCATTGCTGTTTGCTCATTAGTAGGAGGAAAGATGATAAATTGCTTTTAGAATTTCCAGTGTTGCCAAATTTTATGGACTGATTTGTCTTTTTAACCCTTTTGAGCAAGTAGAATACATCAACATTAGGCGGTCTAATAAAAGTAAAAGTGCTGGTATGGTTGGAGTTATCATATGAAATGTGGTCTTAAATTAAATAAAAATAAGATAAGTCTGTGCTTGTGGGTAAAACCTGTAATAATGAAACCAGAGGAATACTAACAAGCAGTTTAAGTGATTTATTTTTGTATTATGCAAATGTCCAAAAGATTGTGGCACCAGTCTTTTTATCACAACATGAATCAGTGTTTTTGTTTGCCTGTCATGGCTGACTAACATGAAAATTAATTTCTGAGAGAGGGAGGGGAAGAAAGAGAGAGAAAAAAGAGTGTGTGTGTGTGTGTGTGTGTGTGCGTGCGCGTGTGACAGTGTGTCAAGTTGAGGGTTTGTGGTTCTTTCTCTGTAGCTTGTGACTGATATTTTGACGTTCAGTCAGAATTTGGACAGTGTGATTCCTCGGAGCTGGGATGTAGTTCCTGCAGTGTCACTGTGCTGTGTGTGAGTATGGGACATGTGTTTCAGCTTCATGCCTCGGCTATCTGCGCTTTGCTTGCAGGTCTCTAACTTGCTGCAGCTGCATCAAACAAACTCTGTTCCCACATCGGACACAAAAATCGATAACGCTCTGCTTTGGGCCGACCTTGAACAGAGCCCAAATCTTCGCCATGATTTGTATTCCGAGCCTGACAGATTTCAACTCAAAACTTTTAATTTTCTTACATGGTGATTTTATGCATTATGTTTTTAATATCTTAAATGAATCTTGTTCTGTATTTCTTTCATTGGACAGCCCAGTTGGGTCTGTGCTTTGGCCGGGAGGGGGTTTTAATGATGTAAAACAGTAAGGCTGAAGCAGTGTAACTGTAAAGGGATACTTCGGCTCCCCACCAGCAGGCTGTTGTGCGGAGCGGCCGTGCGCGTCTCATTAACGGGATCACTTTACCAGCGTCAACAAATAGGTCATTATCCATCACAGCCTGCCCTGCCTGCACGAGCCATCCGCAAACACACACGTTTTACGTCTCATCACAGTCAAATTACAGAATTGACAGTGCGTTTTTGAATCTTGTGGCTTGATGAGACGCCAAAATGTTCAGTGTTGCTACAGTGTTTTCAATCCATGTTGAGTTTGGGCTTGTAACGTCAATCTCGACCGTTTTCACGGACTGGTCAAGAGCGCAAATCCAATCTCGGTTTTAATTTATTTGAATGTCTTCCTTTGTTTACATCTCTAACTGTAGCCAAAATTAATATATAGGCTACGAGAAAAACTTTATACCCTGATAAACAAACACAATGTCAGATTTTGTTTTTTCATTCTAAAATAGTTAATCTTGTCATTTTAATATTAGAAAATTTAACACCACACTACTTTACCTACTATATGTAGATATGCTATTAATTTATATTCTAGTCGGAGCCAACCATTAACGCTATATATTATGAAGCCATCCTGTGAACTGAGTCCCATTTACAGCTGTGACTAGGCCTATATACCATTAAGGACATACAATATCTTCTCTACAATCCTATATCTGCCGGGACGCTCACTGGGGAAGGTGGTCCTGCTTTTGACCACCTGTACCGCGACACCTGGTAAACGATACGGCCTCTCTGCGCATGCGTAATAGCCTGCCAAAAATCCCAACACCGTCTCGCCTGTCAACCAATAGTGTCCCAATCTGTCCAGAGATAAAGTCAGAGCAGCGTGGAGAGGGGAGAAGTGAAGTGGCCGATTTCAGACGTGAGGAGCACAGACTGAAGGAGAGCGAGAAAAAAATCATGCCGAGGTCTTTCCTGGTGAAGAGTAAACGGGCCCACAGCTACCACCAGCCCCGCTACCTAGAGGATGACTACAGTGGACTGGACACTATTCTGGCTCATGCGTGCGCAGGTAGGTTCGTTTATGCGTAATTACGCACGGAACTTGTAGAATTATGCTAATAAAAGCGATTGTTGCACTTGTTGCACAATCAGTCAGAATAAGTTAGCTAACTCGTTCCCCTCTCCTGTCATTAGAGACCAAATCGCAGGGGGAGTTTGAGTCCAACTTGGAGCCGCACGAGGAAGTGTCCGCCGGCGCTGACAGACTGTCCCCCGGGTCCCGGCTGCTGTCCCCGGGCTCACTATCCTCCAGCTCCCCGCTCAGCTGCGGAGGCAGCGTGTGTGAGCGATCTTCTGACTGTGATTTCTGGCGTCCCCCGTCTCCATCGTCCTCACCAGGTCAGCTCAAATATATTTCCAGCCATACGTTTGGTTTGTAGAGGTTTTAGAGGAGCATCAAAACCACTTTGTTAGTGTAAGGCCTATTTGAACCGTGAGCGTGTCATTCGATTATTTGACACGTGATCTTATATAAATTAAAATTGTTAACATTTGCCATTGAACAATATCAGCTTTATAAGTGGGTAAACTATTTTAAACATTTTCACTGTGGTATAGTTTTGATTACAGTGAAGGAAAACAAAGAGCATTAATTGTCTCGGTTTGGGAGTCGATTATTCATTTACATAGTTACTTTATTTTAGCTCAATTTAATGATTCATTTCATTGGGGGAAAATGCCAAACAGCCAAATATCTTGTCAATCATCAGTTATTGTGCGTAACCTGGTTTCACACAGGAAAATATTTTTGATATGTAAGGTGCAGAACTTTGATGGGTGGGACGTGAGGGTTACAGAAGTTTATAGTAGTCTAAAATCAGTACTACGCACGTCAGGTTTCCATTTCCAGTAAGCCCCCCTGCAATTCAAATCAAATGATTTATTTCATGTGACACATAAAATGCAGATTGCACTCTAACCATATCCACTAAAACTGCATCCAAATTCATTCCCAGATTCAGAGAAATGCTCCACTCCAGCAGCGGAGGACGCTCAGCACTTCAACATCCCCCTTTTTCCTTACTCCTGGTCAGCATACTCTGGATCTGAGCTGAGGCATGTGGTTCAGGGACCGTACCACCACCACCACCACCTCCAGGGCCACAGGGAGCCTAACTCACCCGTCAGCATCTACGGGGCAGAGGACAGCGGCAAAGAGTCTCTTTACGCACAGCGGGGTCCAGTGGCCGGATGCTACCGGGATTACTCTTCAGCTGCCCACCAACTCCGCAGGTTGCAGGACGCAGACGAGCTGTATCTGGATGTAAAGCAGAAGCCTCGCGCTACAGAAATCAAGTCTGAAAATGATTTCATCTGCTCGGACTTCGAGTCAAGTGGATCCTATAAATGCATTAAATGTTGCAAGGTTCGTTTCCCCCTATCGAGGTTTGCTTAGCCCCAAATCATAACAGCTGAGTTTACTGAGATGTTGATGATTTTACCGATATTTTATCGGTGATCACACCATAACATTATGACCATTAGGCCTCTATCAAATCCATATATCCATATCTACAATCTCTCTTAATCTGGTATCACAAGATCAATAATTATCCCTGTTTTGAGATTGATTTTGAAGTAAAGTGTGATTCTTCTGCATTTCCAAAAGGTGTTTTCGACACCTCACGGCCTGGAGGTTCATGTGCGGCGATCTCACAGCGGGACGCGGCCGTTTGAGTGCGGGATCTGCGGGAAAACCTTCGGACACGCAGTGAGCCTGGATCAGCACAGAGCGGTTCACTCGCAGGTAGGCCCCTGACTGGAAATAGACTGGCGCATAAGATGCAGTACGAGCACAAAAGGCCTCTGGGCCTCACATCCTGAGAGCAAAGGCTCCAGAATCAGTCTGTGATTTTAGGCCTTGTGTATATCTGCAGTTTCTATCTAATGTTTGAGGCCTTCCACACTGACACTTCAAATCCTATGTTTAGGAGAGGAGCTTCAGCTGTAAAATCTGCGGCAAAAGCTTCAAGCGCTCCTCCACACTGTCCACGCACCTGCTCATCCACTCGGACACGCGGCCTTATCCGTGCCAGTACTGCGGGAAGAGGTTCCATCAAAAGTCAGACATGAAAAAACACACTTTCATCCACACAGGTGAGACACTACAAACCGACAGTCGCCGTAAATTTCCCTTTTAAATGCGCGTGCGTAACGTGTAAAAACGCGTCTAAAACTGACTTTTCCAACGGTGCCTTTTTTGTTCCCGCGACAGGTGAGAAGCCGCACAAGTGCCAGGTGTGCGGGAAGGCCTTCAGCCAGAGCTCCAACCTCATCACACACAGCAGGAAACACACAGGCTTCAAACCTTTCGGCTGTGACCTCTGCGGGAAAGGCTTTCAGAGGAAAGTGGACCTGAGAAGACACAAGGAGACGCAGCACGGACTGAAATGAACAGACGTCGATGCTTTAAAATGAAATCCTGCACTTTTAATGTACCGACTATGCACATGGATGGCCATGTTTTATTTTATTCTATTTTATTGTTTGTTGTATTTTCTCCACATTTTACCTTCTGTTAAATGTAGTTAATTATTTAGCCTGAGATATTCTGATGTTGATTTTATGGAAATAAACATTTATTTATCGAGTACGTTTTTAAATTATTAATATTTCAAAGCATCTACCCTATCAGATGTAAACACTGGTTTCCAAAGCTGAAAATCTCCTAATTTCATGAATGAGTTATCACTTTTAAATGCCTTCACTGTTTTCTTCACATTTCTTTATATTACAGACAGTGGAAATTCAGCTTTTTAGACTTAGTCAATTTGTCAGATTCATGCTCAGTAATTAAATATTAATCTTTGAAGCTGAGTATCAGTTTTTTTTCCAGTTAGGAATTAACAAGACAATACAAGAATTAAAATGATTTAAATCTCTCTACATTTATTTGCTTGCTAAATAAGAAAATGTTTCTCATAATTTGGATTTTTTTTTTAGGTTTTAACCCACAATAACATTTAAAAATTGAATACATTATTTAGAAATCCCTCTGTGTCCCACTCCACTGATTGTACGTTGTGAAAAACGAGAAGCTGTGTTGAGCCATGCAGGCCATCAATCACGTCCCCAACCTGCATGACAGGTCAAAGTTATATCTCCACTATTAGAGAGAAAAACGTTTTGCTGCATGCGCCACCTGGTCAAAACCAAATATTTTCAGACACACACATTGTTAACATACTCGTATAACAAATGACATTATGGTGCCATAAACCTTCATGTGAAGGAAGTCTGGAGAAATAGCGTCACTTTTATTACAGCAGGAGTTCTTCCAGTGTAGTAATAAGCAGCGCGTCCACATGGCGTTTTCACTAGGAAAAGCTGGGTGTGATTTATTCCGCCCTGCACAGGTTAAACATGCACAGCTCCAGGACTTCAAGAATCTGATTTGCACATATCTCATCACAGATTGTGTACATAGAGTAATTCTGCTCCACAATATCAACAGTCACCACTCCTACATCCTAGATCAGTTAGTGGTGTGACTGAGTTTGTGTCGTTGTCAAGTTAGTTAAAAACCCCACAAAACAAACAAGGAGTTTTTATCTAAACAGTTATTACTACCAAATTTATTTATGAAAAATATATTTACAGAAAACGTCTGATATATTTATTCTATTCATTCAGAGTGTGATATTTATTATTCATATGTCCATGCCTGACATTGTGTGTCAGTGTGTCTGGGTTTTAAACAACCGGACTAAGTTCAGTAGATCCTGCTCCTGTAGGCCGAGCTCCTGCATCAGCGTGTTCAAGTACTCCACTGATGCCTGCGTCTCCACGGCCTTTCGCACCACCGGAGACACCTCTGACAACCTGAAACACAAAACACACACAAATTATACACAACTGCGCACTGATGAAGCTATGACAAGTTCTTACAGACACCAGAACATTTATATGATCATAAATATCATTAGACCTTTGATGAACAAAGGATACACTTCTACACTGATTGTAAAGACTGACAAGTAAAAATTTGTATCTTCAATCGACAATGTAAAGGTTACACTAAGATGTTTAGTTCTTATTTAAGCCACATGTTCAGGCGCTGAGTGCTGACCAGGGTTCATGTTGTTGTTAAAGCAGCTTTGCTGAGTCAAATGGTTACTTCTGCTTAGTAAAACACAGATCAGACCTTTTCAGATTCATGTGGGTTCTAGTTTATAATCACCAAAGTTACCCAGATAACTCAGTAAATGTGCTTTGGAGAACAAACATCTGTTCACTGCTTAGTGTGTTTACATGCACATTAGTGTCCGTGTTTTGATTATGATTATCTGGGACATGACATTTACATGGAACAAAAGAAATTCATGTCCTTGTGTACATGATCTTAACAGTATCCAGGTTTCTAATCATCTGTGAGCACTTGTGCCTTGATTCCTGAACATCTCAGCTCCCCATTTCTCTATGAACAGAGTGTGTTCAGAAATCTGGATAAAGTGTTTACAGTGTGACACTTTCTCTCAGAGAACTCCAGGTTGAATATCCTCATCCAGATTTCTGAAACCAGGATATGATGTTTACATGTGGAACTCATACCAGGTGCATGTAAACACACTCCATGAACGCCCTGAATCATCCAGTAATATCTTCACTTCATGTAAAAACCTTGCAGACTCGAATTAAGAGAAATTACATATATTTCTTAATCTTTTAATATTGTTTTAAATCCTCACCTGCATGATGTACAACATTTGAACAATGCCTAGGAGCTGATTGTGGAGGCCGCAGTGTGTGGTGCTGTTGAACTGTAATGTGTTACAGTGAGAGGTGTTTACAGAGTAGAAATAATAAAATATAATCACTGATTAAAAACTGGCAACTAAGTTTATGTTTCTATGAGCCAATATGCCTGCAGTGACATCATTATGTAAAGACTGTTTATCTCCAGCTCTACATCCACTGTTTGCAACCTTCTAGCTGTCTCCTTCAATTCTCTAACCTCTCCATTGCTCTCCTCCTCCTTCCTCCCCCACCCTTCCCCCTGTACCTGCCCTGTCTACCTGTGTGGGGGTGCGCTGCTGGTTAATCTCCGGTTCACCCCAGGGTCTAGTGTTGCAGGGGGGGACATCCATTATTCAGCTGGCCTGAACAATAGAGGCCAGACTAGCTCCACAGCTGCCATGCAGCAGACAGATAAGACAGCACACCAAATTATTCATGATGGAGGAATGGAAGGATGGAGAAGCTTGAAGTTAAATAGGAACTAATGAAATCATAGAGTACCAATGGAACATAGAGACGTAGGGACAAAGAGAATAAATGTTTCCAAAAGAGCTGCTGATTATCTCAGACAAATAATATATAATATTAATAACATGGCTCCTCATCCAGCCATAATACATAAACAAGCAATAAAAATATGTTTTTAAGTGGTTCATCAGTTAGACAAAATCAAAACTTAAAAACAGTGGTTTGAAATATTTATCTCTCTCAACATCAGCAGTAAACATTACAAAACACCTTCAATCAGGTCAAAGCCACAACATGCAGACAACAAATCAAATCTCTGTTTTTTGCCAAAATAATTTGACAGCAGTTTAATACAACCCAGACTCTTTGTTTCCCTAAAAAGAGAAAAAAATTTAGTCAAAAGACTCCAGTTTGTTGACAATAATTCCAAAGTGCATTAACAGGATCTCACTTTTGCAGCCTATTCCTTTTTATGTGATGCAGTTTCAGTGAAGAGTTTCCAGTCACAGGACCCCTTTGCTTTAAGAGTGATAGATTTACTGTTCATCAAGCTGCACAGCACTTAGTGTATTCTTTTGTTAAGTTCAAGAGAGCCCATAATGTAAGTTATGATACTGAACTAAACGGACCCGGGGCCACTGAGGGAATCATAAATCAGAGTCAGACGAGCATCAGGTGAAAGTTTTCCCAGGCAGGGCAATTCAACGCGCCCATTTTGCTTGAACATATACAGAGGAACTATTGTGTGTGTGCATGTGTGTATTTAACTTGAAAGTGTACAGGGCTGCTTGTGTGTGCCTTCTGTCCTGCATCACGGATCTGGAGAGGGGCAATCAGGTGGAGATAAGGCCATGAGGCGTCTGTGTGTACTCAGACGGGAGCAGCACGGAACTGTCCATGAACTATCAGCGTGCGTGCGTGCGTGCGTGCGTACGTGCACACACACACACACACACACACACACACACACACACACACACACACCATATGGCATGTGCTAAACAATGCCACACCATATAGTGTTGTGTCAAATGCACCATTAAGCTTTGAAGTTAAAAGTGAATCCCTGTCAGTTAATGTTATGGCTTTCTTTGTTGTTTGAGGAACAGCACAGTTCTGGAAAAATGCTGTTAATACAACAGAAAATTACAGTATAATACCAATACATTACAGTTTTAGATCACATTGTGATTATTTTACCTAATTATGTCTTGCATATATTTGAGTATTCAATTATTATATAGAGGATTGACTAATACTTATCTTTTTTACAATAGTACTAGAATTATAACCTTGCAGTTGTATGCCTCTACCAACCAGAAAGTTGTCACAACCTCCCTTTCTGAGTAATAATGCTTTTTGCAGAACATTATGATGTCACAGTGAACTTGACCTTTTATCATTTAAACATAAAATTCATCACTTCATCATTTTAGCCTATTACACATTTCTGTTAACTTGTGTTAGCTTATGTACCTGTGAGTTATGATTTGTGAGGTCAGAATTACCTTGACCTTTGACCTTTGACCACCAAATTCTAATCAGTTCATCCTTGAGTCCAAGTCAATGTTTGTGTCAAATTTGAAGAAATTCCAAAAAGGTGTTACTGAGATATCACATTCACGAAAATGGGACAGACGGATGTACAGATATATGGATGGACAACCTGAAAACATAATGCCTCCACTGGTGCAGAGCCATAAAAATTGTAGCTTATCTGTCACAACTTACATGTAAAACACACACGTCTTTTAGGTTCACACACACACACACCACACACACACACACACACACACACACACACACACACACAGAGTAAACTTACAGATGTAGAAGCACCACAGCTATGAGGGTCCACTCTGGGGTTTTGTGGATGATGTTTGTGTTGGTGAACCTGTGGTGTTGAGACAAAAATAAATCAATAAAATACAGAGTGAGCAACAGGTCAGCACTGCAGAGCAACATGCCAATCATAACTTTTTTTTTTTTTTTTAAAAACTACAAAAAATGTATGAAAATATACATACTACTACATACTTTCGATTTGAGCAACCTTCTGTAGGTGGGTGTCAAAAATCACCTAATTCTGATGTTAAGTAAACTAGGAAAACAAAACATGCACAAGGTCGGACCAAACACCACAAACACTGCCTGCAATAGTGCAGTGATGTATGCTGCTCTGACAGCACTGTGTATATTCTTTGGCTTCAGCCTCTTGTCAGCGGGGCCTCTCGACGGCACAAAGAGAATTCCTGGAAGCAGGACCGTGGAGGTGTTACTCTGCTGCCCCTTCAGCTTTTAAATCACTGACACAGTGATTTAATAGCAGTCCTGTTGAAAACATCCTAACCAGTCGATGGGAATACGCAATATGTCTAAGGCAGGAAATGTTCAATTCAGGCACAGGCTTTAAAATATCTTTAATAAAATACTATACTGAGTACTACTGGGCGAGGAAATATTCATCACATATACATGATGCAACAAATGCCACATTAAAATGCTATGCTGTTCATATAAAAACACACAATAATGAAGGGCTAGAAATTAAAATGTAAATAATAAAATCAATAATTTCCATTTAGCTGTATCACTGTCTTGGTGTTGTGTATGCTGACTCACCGTCACACTGTCATGGTTTACTGAGGCATATGGATACAACTGAGCCACCGTTAATGTTATTAACAACACCTGTGCTTTTCCTACTGTGACAAGTCTAAATGCCTGCTGTGAAAAAGGCCCGTCATTGGTTCGTGAAGTATGGTGACCTCATGTAATTACAACATAACTCCACCCAGCGTCAACCTGAGCTCAGGTCTAATTAGCCTCAAGTACTAACACCTGTGTAGGTGTTGGGAGACTTTAAAAAGACAAAACAACAAAACATGTAATACTGTATGTAGTGTAGAGTGTCGAGGGGGATAGAAGTTGTTTTGATGTTTTAGGAAAATTACAAAAACATGTCATAACAGAAAGTCACGTATACGCTCCACATGTGCTGATGTGTCAGAAATGCACACACCAAAAATGACCACTCACTAAATACATGTGTAATGACATGTCAAAAATGAACATGCGTGAATGAATGTGGTGAGCCAGTAAGCCTTTTTCACACCTGACATTTTGACTCGTCACAGTAGAAACTGCACAGGTGTCACTTATCACATTAACGACGGCTCTGTTACATTCAAGTGTTCCAGTAAGTGAGGATGCACAACAGAATATAGCCTTTATTAAGGTTATTAACTACACCTATGCTTTTCCTGCCATGACAATTAAACAGTTTAACAAAATTCCTGTTGTTGTCATGTTTCCTCTCTGTCTGTAGGGGGCACCAGAGTACATTATCAAATCTTTAAATAAAATGTATTTGTTAATTACAAGTTTATCACTCTAATTTCTTTTAGGATATTACAGTGATCTTAAGCAGAGTAGATGCATGTTTAGCTGATGCTGGCAGGGAGCTACCAATGGTTATGCAGTTCTACACCAAGAAAAAAACCCCAAAAACTTTACTCAGTTGGGAGAAATGTAGATGTCATTGACATGTGAGTTTCAGTAGAGCTAAAATAAAACCTAAATAGCATAAAAACATGACAATACCCCCAAATAGCTCCTTAAGAAAGCACAACAAGTCGTATGTTGGGGTACAGCTCAACTAACTAATTAATGAAGAGCGAGGCAGAACTGCAGAATTTCTCTATAGACGGCAGCGAGGTAATAAGCAGTAATTGTGTTTCATGCAGGGATGATGCATAGCTATTGGTTCTTGAATGTTTCAGTGAGTTGATGTGAACCATGATTCCCTGTCAACACTGTTTTCTGTCTTCTAAAGATGGTGAAAATGACAAAATTACAAATTTTCTGTAACACCTTTTAAGCCTTTTAAGCAAAAAACTATAAGGCTTAAAAAAGAAAGTACAGTTACTGAGTGACCTAGTGCTGGCAGACTAGCAGAGAGGAAGGTGTATGGGAATTTATGTGTACTGACCTGAATGTCCTGACCAGCCTGTTCAGGTCAGTGGAGACGTCACTCATGGTGAGACGCAGCGGACCCACAATGCTTTTGAGACTGATCAACAAAAAATGTGAAAGAAAATTTTAATTTTTACTGTCAAAAATGACTAAACAGGTTCCAACCGCTGTAATAAATACTGAGCATGTGAATTTCAATTCCTTTGTGCAGTGTTTATAGCAGTTGCAGCAACTTAACACTTCCCCCAAACATGATAATAAGCACTAACTTAAAAATAAACTGTGGCAAGTCTGAACTGGTATCTGAAGCAATGAATTACCGGCCCAGATATAAACATGACTTTATTTAATTAATGGCGGCACACAGCTGAGAAAGAACATAAGATTTACTTTACTGGTCCCCAATTGCCTCTGTATTATCTATTTAACTTGGATTCATTATTTTTAGTTACAATTGTGTCTTACAGAAGGCTTGGATGGATTAATAAGATAAAATAATAAGCTTAATAAGCCATCACATTGTTTGAATGGCTCTTGAAGTGACAAAATAAAATAATCTCAAAGAGAAAGCACATAAATAGACTACCATGGATTCACATGTACATAGGCATAACCAAAATAAAAACACACAAAACATATGGACAGACATGCAATTAATGCACAAAGCTGAAAGAGACACACATAAAATACACACACACACACCAAATAGTGAGCTTCTCCACTGCAATTCGTTTCTGGATGAGGTGCTGAGCATTAGAGTCAATGAGCGGCAGAACTGGGTCCTTCGTGCCCTTGTCCTGGACTGTCAGCTGGTGGGAAAAAAACAACATGTGTGAGTGTTGGGGAGCAAATTTCAGTACATTAATGCACTTACTACTACACCAATCATATTTGTTCACACATTATATTTTTAATATAGTGCCTCCATGTGGTCAATGACTCTTACAACAAGTAGCTCCATTCATTACCATCCTCTCTTTTTTCTTTTTCCTCCACTCCCTCACTCACCTCGTTTCCATTCGGCGCCTCCAGCTCCTCAGGCAGAATCCATGTGCCTTTATAAAACTCCCTCACTCTGAGCTCCTGCTGCTGGGTCTCTTTCCTCAGCGTCCCAAAGTCTGGTGCTGCAGCAGACTGCCTCTTCAGCACCCCAGAATCAGCCCCTACGCTATCCTCCACTGCCACCTCATCCTCGAGGTCGTCTTCATCCAGCTCCTCCTCTTTGTCCTCCTCCCTCTCCTCTTTTACATCAGCGAAAGGAGAGCCCAGTGAATGATCAGCACCATACAGGAACTTCAAGGTCTCGTCAGTGCTCCATTCCTTCAAGGTTTTTCTCAGGCACTCAAGGAGATTCAGACGGATGGAGTCTGGTTTTTGTGGATCAGTATGGTTCTTGAGAAGATCTCGTAGCCCTGCTGCTCCTTTCTTGCTCATACCCACTTGGGTGATGTTGAACCCAGTCATGTTCTGATCAGTGGTGATTACTGTTGAAGAAGAGATATGTTTGCTTTCAACTGGGGGTCTTGAGTCAATAAGTGGAGAAATAAGTGGTGTAGTGTGTTCTGCCTGTGCAGGTGCTGAGTCAACATGCAGGGAAACAGCGTGAGTGGCAGTCTGAGACAAACTGCACAAATTCATCTTAGCTGTAGCGTCTTCCACACGGGATTCCTCAGGGAAGACCTCCTTCTCCTTCGGTGTCAGGTCAGTATTTATAATGTGCAGCTGTTCAGCATCAGTTCTAACTTCAGTTTTACATGCATGTGACTCTTTCCTTTCATCATCTCTCAGTTTTCGGCTCTTCTTCACATCCTGACTTTGATTTTGCTCCATCTCCTCCTCATCTCCTTCTCCATTATGTTTCTTTATCCTTTGTATCTTCCCTTGCGTTCCTTTCTTATCTTCATCTGTGCGTTTAGGCAGGTCACCCCAGTGCACCCTGGGTCCCTGCCTCTGGGACACCACACTGGAGACAAAGTCCTGCTCTTGTTCAATGTCACTGCTGTCACTGTGGCTGAGGCCACCTGCAGGACAACGCTGCTGAGAGTTGTGAGGGTCTTCGGGCTGAATGGCCAGTGGGTTCTCGATGTCGTCCTCTTGGAGACACCTCTCTGACAGAAACACCTCCTCACCAGAGCTCCCACTGAACACACATGTGTAAAGCTGAATTAGCAATTTATTATGAAGTTTATATGAAACATTGATCATCTAAAAATGCAATAAATCTAAGAAATATTGCTATTTAAAATATGCACTTTGTATTATGGGATATAAACACTGAAGATAATACATACCCATCTCCTTTTTTCATCAGTTTAATTTCTGGAGGGCTGTTAGTGATAAGGGAAGTGAACACATGACCTTAGTATATAGAAAATGATTATATTCAATGATCATTTCATAGTTATTGTTCAGGAAACAGACAAGGAGCAGTATACCTTTCATGCTGCCTGAGCCAAAGAGGTGTCTTTGATATTTGTAGCTCAAACTCTTTGGAGGCTTTGTAGCAGAAGTTACTACAAAAACACTAAATATAAAAGAGAAAGGGAAAAAGATTTATTATTTTGAGTTATTCTTAAGGTACATATATATTTTGAATTACACGCAGAAGCACTTACCTTGCGCTCTGTAATGTCGTACACTTTATTGGTCTTAGTTGAAATTTTATACTGTTGAGTTGGGATCTATAAAGTAAACAGTAGAACTGAGCCATGATAAAACAGAATAAAATATGAAACATAATGACATCTACTTCAAACAAAGGATTATAAAGACTGGCATAGACAGTCTTACCTTGCCCAGTTTATTTGGGCATATGGGATAACCACAGAGTTTAGCAATGGATCTCTCCTCTATAGCATCTTTGTAATTAGCTGGAGTGATGAATTTGGCCTGTGAAGAAAGGAAACTGAAAACAGGCTGAACACAACAACTATGTCACCTCAAAGCTGAACCTCGAGAGTGAAAAACTGAAGAGGAAGAAAAAATTTAAATGTGGGTATGGATAGTAGGTGGGAGGAATTGAAATCAGTTATCATGTCACTATTGTTTTTAACAATGTATGACTAATCTGTAATAATATGGCCTGAGGTAGGTCAGTACGGGTAAGGGAGGAACACTGGAAAAGCCTCAACATTATCACTTTAACATTTAAAAAACTCTCAATGGGGGACAGAGCGAGTCACTCAGTACTTACAGGGACTACAAACACTAAACAATATGGGAAGTAAATTTAGCTTTTTATTAGAATGAGAGACATCACTGCTCAGGAGTCATAGAGACTGAAATCAGTCTCAGAGCCTGAGCTGTGTATAACAAATGTATAAGGCTAATGCTAGTCCTCCTTCCCAAATAAAAAGTGAGCACAGGTGATACTTACACAGTCAGACAGGAAGTCTTCAGCCACACTGTCTTCCAGGAGACGCTCCACTACCTTCAGAGCTCTTTTCTCCAGCTCAAACTTCTCCCTCAGCTTCTCCTTCACCACCTCCCTCCTGACAACAACATACATTTGACAAACATTTGAAGAAGTGTTGGTGTTGTTAATATATTTACTTGTCGACAAGTATAACTTCAATCCCACTGTATATCTAGAATTGATTATTGACAGAATATTCTACAGCCACACTGTAATCTTAAAGCATTTGTGTATGGTGCATTAGCTTGTATCAGCACTGATAAAACGTTAGCATAATAATCATCAGCAAATTAAGTAACCGTGCTCTTTCTCACCTTCTTGCTTCTTCTTCAGCGGTCAGTGCTTTGACACGTTTTCCACCTGCCACACACAAAAAAAACTGTACCGTAAACTGAACTGTAAAATGTTTCCCACTGCTTTTTACTTAACAGTCAATGAGCAACTCCATAAACCATGACAACATTATAACATACTTAATGTTAGCGTGAATGGTGTTTTGACTACTTTCTGAAGACTGTTGGGCTGTTAAAATGCTTGTTAAGCCTTACATTGGTGTGAAAGAACAAATTGGGAGTGGAAACTAACCTTTTTTTGATGTTTTAGAGGAGGTTCCGCTCCTTCTCCTCTCTGCCGTCTCCATGCTGTTTTCTGTTTTCTACGTAGTCAACTTTGACCGTTGACGTATTTACCTCTACGGCAAGCCCAAACGGACAAATTAGCCGTTAGCACTCTTGTCAGGCGGCGTGGTAGTTTAATCGGGCTGTGACATGTAGCTTTGGTGGGTATCTACCTCAATATTGTCCTGTTTGACACCATTATTTCCGCCAACAATGCTTACTGTTAGCGACTGTGTTTGGCTAGCTCTGGCTAGCTCTGATAGCAAAAATGCTTTGTTTTCTATCTAATGGCGAAGCTAATTCTGAATAATTGAGACTAGCATTCATTCAGCTCTCTGTTTACAGCAGACTGTCCAGCCCACACAAGCTTATCTGACCTTAACCTTAACATTACCCACCTTTCTGTGCATATAAATAATGATTCAACTCATAAAGGCAGCTAGTTGTGGAAGTAGACCCTCTTGAATTAGGAGCCGTTTGATTATCAGGTAGTATGGTGTGCAGTTGTTGTTTTTTTTAATTTTCAGTGTCCTGTTTGTTTTGGAGGATTGCTGTGTGACAAAGATAAACCTCACCTGAAGACAGCAGGGATGGCTCTGGAGCAGCTCAGTGACGTGGTCCAGAGATGTGTGAGTCCACCAGACACTTCACCATCCACCCATCAATACCTCATTTTACATGTTAACACAATCAGTGGAGTAATTTCTTTTTAGTGGTAGAAGCAGTCTGAATGCATTTAAAAAGTAAGCAATAGTGTTAAATTTTCTGTGTACAGCTCTGTTCTAGCTGCACTTTAACCCACAGCCTTAGGAATAAAATGTTCCTGTCATAAGTGAACAGCCTGATTCTATTGTCTATTCTTAAGTCCTCCAAGGGAGGCTTAGATATATAATAAATGATTTAGATTAAAAGTTAATTCTCAACCTTGGAAACAGTAGTTGACTTAACAATCTCACCACAAGGTCCATTTAGTAGTTGTTCTGGAGCTTTCTATTCTTTTCTTTTTTCTCTAGCAACTCCAGAACAGGACCTTGAGGTCTTGAATTATATTTCACTGATTACTAACTGACTGTGGGGCTGTAGTTTATTTCCTCATGGATTGACTCTTAAAAAAACATTACAAAATATCAGAAAGTAATGAAAAATGCCTGCACAGAGGCCGAGGTGATGTCTTCCAACAGCTTGTTTTTGTTTCATTAACAGTCCAAAACCCTGAAGGTATTTAATTTACTGTGATGTTGATGTATGCTGTGTAAATGTTTGGCTTTTTCTAACTAATCAACTGATTGGAAAACTAATCAGTTGGAATTCTTTCATCACTAATCTGACATGTCTATATTTTCTCTGTTATGACCCCTTAATTTATCTCTCTTTTACACAGCAAGCACGCCCTGATGACAGCTACACCACTGAGGATCATGACGTCTTCACGATTGCTGGACGAACCTGCATCGAGGAGGGGAACAGCGTTCAGGTCCTCAGTATCATCCTGGATGAAAAGAATCAGGTAGGTTTTAACATGTACATTTAACATGTACACTTGTTTATAGGTGTGTAGCATATTGCTTAACATGACACTCCTTTATCCCTCTTTCTGTAGGAAATAGTGAGATCTATGGGTTGGAATCTGCTGCCTCCCCTGATTCAGGTTTTGCTCAAGAAAGACAACAAGAACCTTCCTCAATGCCTGGCTATTTTCAACCACCTGCTAGAGGTCTGCTCATCTGCTCCACAGATGCTTCACAGTATCAGATAGTGGTCTAGTACTATCCAAAATACAGTTTATAATCAAATCTAAACCACTCACAAATCTAGCAGTGTGTAGATACTTAATGTCTTGAGTGTTGTGACTAAATTGTCCTTTTAAAGGTGAGCTTTGGTTTTCCAGACTTGCAGGCCCAAGGAGCTGCTGATTGGCCTTTTGGAGCAGCTGGAGCAGGATGACCCTGACACAATAGCAGAAAGCGTCCATCTGCTGTTAAACCCTCTGCAGAAAGGCAGGGAACATTCTTTAAATATGCACTCCAATATACTTGTGAGCAAATGTCAACTCATATAAAGCCATTTTCATTGTTCCACCTGTGTCCTCCTCTCAGTGCTGCTCTGTCTGGGCAGTCGTAAGGCCTCGTCCCTGGGCATGACCCTGTCCTCTGTGCTGGACCAGGTGGCCAAGCTGCCTCTACCTCACACCAAGGACCAAGAGGAGGATGACGTGTTCTCGCTTTGCCGCTGCTGCACTGAACTAATAGCCTTCATCAGACCCTTTGTCCAGGAGGTCCGGTTAGACCTCCTGAACAGTGAAGAGCTGAGCGAGAGCAGAAACAACGTGGCAGGTGGACAGGATAAAGAGGATGAACTGCGGACAGAACTGCTGAAGTTGTGAGTGACATAACATTATTGTAAAGAGCTGCATGAATCGGAACAATGGCGTTCAGGTTGAACCAGTGTGTTATTTTGTTCTGCAGCTGTATGAAGACTCTGAGTCACCCTTTGTTGGAGGTACAACTCAAGGATCCTGACACTCTGGCTGTGTCTCCCCTCAGGAATTTTGCCACAGAAATTCTGGTGCGTTACCTTTTAAACATCACATGAAGTGTAAATTAATCCTCCATAATATTCTGGAGAGAGCGGACATCGTCCTGTAATATTAGTGTAAATGATTAGAAGGGCCATGTGTGTTTCTTTTGAGCAGAATACCCTCAGTGCTATCGGAGAGTCCCTAACCAGTCTCGTGTACCAGCCTCTGCTGAAGAGAAAACAGCTTCCAGGCTTCCTGGAGGAGGAGGTGCGTTATCCTAAAGAGTCGTTGGCCAGCCTGGCTCACCTGGTGTTCGTCCATCACCTGGCTGCAGATACATTCCCCAGTGTTTACAAGTAAGTTAGAGGAAATATCTATGACCATAGAACACTGGGATGCTGATATACGGTATGAGTTTCTTCAGATTTGGCTGAAAATTAGGGCTGATGACAGTTCATACTGTCTGAATGGATGTTTTTTTTTTTACATTCTCCTGACTCCCTCTGTGTCTTTTCAGTCCTGTGTTCTGTCTTCGGTGTAACATGGAGCACACCTGCCTCCTCTTGTCCAGGTGAATATACTGTATGACGTATGACATGTGCTGTGCTGTTGCAGCGTTTCACTGTCTGATTGCAGTTGGATTTGACAAAAGCACATAAAATGAAGCAAACACTGCGTTTGTTTGGTAATTCAAATTAAGATTAGAAAATCAATTAATTAATGAATAAATCAAATTAATCTAAAAAATACAATGTATTTCATGTATGTTGGCTAAAACACGTGTGTGTGTGTGTGTGTGTGTGTGTGTGTGTGTGTGTGTGTGTGTGTGTGTGTGTGTGTGTGTGTGTGTGTGTGTGTGTTAAATTAAGTTTCCTTTACACATTCAAATTTCCATATAAAAACCACATCTTGTAAAAAAAATGTAATCACTCCTCACACACCATATATCCCAGATTTTAAATGGAACATTTACAACACGTTTGCATATGTACAATACTAAGTATATTTGCCACACTGAATAAAGACAGTTGGATCTACTTATTAATGTCTGATGTTTGTATTTGAGATAAATACAATATAATCTATTTTTGTTCTGTTTTTTTGTTAGAACTGAGGAGACCAGGATTCAGAAAGGTCTGGTGAGTCAACCTGAAACACTGAATCAAGGACGAGGGTTTTCGTTGTTACGACATTCTGGAGACTGGTTCTGTGGTTTCCAAATTGTTGGGATAGACACGTTTGCAAAAGAAAAAAAATTCTTGTGACGTCAAGCATCTGTTGTGTAGTTGTGTTCTGTAGACTGTGTAGTTTATTCTCAAACATACTTGTAGCCTTACGTCACATAAAGTAGTAAAGTCAAAAGTTTAAAAGTTTACCAGAACAACAAAAATCTGTGGCCACAGCCATGTTGTTGTCTATATTACAAGAATTTGTCGTCTGTACAGTCGGCTTTTTAGGACATTTCAGACTCCGTTTGTCTGGTTCAGCTCAACTTTCATCAGTGCTGAAAGCTTGAGTTTGATGTCTGTATGTGTGTTTCCCATCACACAGGAGCTGTATGAGAAGAGTCTGGTGCGGGTAGTGGATGGCAGTCTGCCTGCAGATCTGCTGGAGATCAAAACCTTCCTCACAGTCTCTCAGGTGAACACAGTTATCCACTCAGGTTATTCATGCAAACCTCAGCCTTTACTCTGCTGCGATTCCTCTGGTGTGACGCTGTTTTACTGGAACTGTGTGCATCACACTCACTTATTCATTTCAATGTTTATTTGCAGAACTTAGTGAAGGTTATGACTATATGCCCGAGACATGATTTGGTAAGTCTTAACATTTATTTATAAATGTTATTTTGTGCAAAATATGCATTTATGTGGGTGTAATTGTAATGCTATCGATAATGGACTTAACTGATGTTTTTTCTTCTTTTGTATTAACTGTGGCTTTTCATTAGAATTTGTTATTCTCTTTGAAAACATATTTTAATTTTTCTTCTTTATCAACAGAGAATTAAAGGTTTGAAGGTGTTCCAGCTGAGCATTGACAAATTTGACACTGAAGCCAAATACAATTTTTTCCAGTAAGCCTTCACCTCTCCTCCTCAAAAGTCATCAGAAATGTCTTTCTCTGTTCCACCCTTCAATATAATGATCCTTATCTGTTGTATTGTTTCAGGTACATGCTGAAGACCAGTGGTCACTCGGGAGTCGAAGGCTACATCATCAAAAACATCAAGAATCAGATAGACCTTGCACTGCAGGTGAGTGAGGTTACATTTAATGGCTGCTGTGAGCTTTCTTACCGTTTTTCATATGTTTTGGTGCAGTAACTAAGAGCTAAATGACAGTGTTAAGTCTGTCTTTGTCTCTCTCTGTCTGTCCTCAGCCAGGTAACAGTAACACCTGGTTTGAGGGGGTTCACCTGCTCCCTCTGCTGCGTAAGGTTCTCAGTCTCCCAGACGGCCCAGAGACCGACCTCCTGCAGTACCTGGACAGGTCAGCACACACATACTGTAACATCTAAGAAAATCATTTTTAATTATTGGCTGTTGATTGCCATGCATACATATTTTTTTCCATAAACTGAAATTGAAATAGTTTTTTTTCTTATTGTCAAGTGAATAAAATGTGAAGGAAGAGGTTTTTTTTTTTTTTTTTTTTTTTAAAACAATAAACAATCTTGATACTGATTTTATAATTTGATGTCACAGGATACACACTGAGCAGGGCATTTTACATTTGAAAAATAAACTTGTCAGTTTTCTCTGGTGGAAAAAGTATGTGTTGTTGAAAATGAGCTGAAACCTGGTCTGACACCTGATCTCTGTACTTCAGTTTCTATGACTTACTAGCCAACAAATATGCTGATATCAGTATATCTGCAATAAGCTAATGTTGGCAGATATATTGCTCCAGCTCCAGTTGAAAGCTCTGGACATAGCTAGTAAGTGGACCATGACCACATTCTTTCTGTGTTGTTTTCTCAGAGTTATGGAGTCTCTGAACCTGCTGCGCTACCTGGTCATTAGAGACAAAGTGACAGAGAACCAGGTGAGTACAACCCTGATCCGTTTCACACCAGAGCCAAACAATGACTCAACATAACATTACTGGTTGTTTTATAAGATCTTCAGCTCATGGACATAGAAAACAAGTAAAAATAAGCATGTAACAAGTACAGAGACAGAAAACAACTGCAAAGAGATACAATACTACCACAACGAGACAGTAAATAACTAAAAAGAGACTCAAAACAAGTACAAAGAGAGATGTCAAATGACCAAAATGTGAGTATATGACACAACATGACAATGAGATATAAAACTACCGTAGAGACAAAGCAAGTGAAAACAGACTCAAATCAACTAAAGAGATGCAAAGCAACCACAAAGAGACGGAAAATATAATGTAGGGATGCAAAGAGACACAAAGCAAGTACGACTGGGCACACAACCGTCACAAAGACTCACTTTCGATCCATGAGTCTTGGTGTTACATACCAGGTCGATCCAGCCAGTTACAGCCAGCCTTCATCCTAACTGCACTCATCGTGTTTTTTTTTTTGCTGTTTTGATCTTTCAGACGGGGATCTGGACAGAGCTGTATAAAATAGAGGATACATTCATGAAGCCTCTGCGTGTTGGGCTGAACATGTCGAGAGCCCACTACGAGAGGGAGCTGCACAACACCATGGAGTCCAAGAAGGACAAGGCCAAAGGTCAGACCTGCAAACCTTTGTCTATTTCAGGTCTTTCTCAACAACTCAGCAGCTTTTTCATAAAGAAACAGAATGCATATGCAAGAGTACAGGAAAATATTAATGCCCCATATTTTATAGTAGCAAAGCTGGTATAATTTTCCCCTGCAGCCCTAACACAAATTAAGCTTCCAGTGAAATACTCTGAGGCTTTCCCTAATGCCGAAGTGACAGCTAATGTTCTGACAGCACAAATGTGTGTTTTCCAGAGGAGTCGATGCTTTCTGTGTCTGTTGGTGATGAGAAGCTGCCCAACATGACATCACAGTCACAGATTCAGGTCAGCGACTGATTCATATTCATGAGAATCAAACAGCATTTGATTGTACAGCACTAACGAGAAAGAGCACAGCGATGACCTGACTGAATTTTAATGTGTCCTCTCAGGCTCTGCACTCAGCCCTGCACACGTTCGACATGATCGAGAGCGTGTTGGTGCGGATAGAGGAACTCACCGACGTGAGGGAAAACCTTTAGACCGAGTTCAACAGCCAGACACCCTCACCTGTCTCAGGATCTCATGGATAAAAAAAAAAAGCCTTCAACTGCTCTGTTGATTTATTTTGTTCAAAATAAATCAGTCGTGGATGCATCATTTCAAATTGTTAAACCATGCAACTGTTAATGTTTTTTTTTTATATATATTTCAAATGTTTCAAGTTGTCAGCAGGTCTGTATTTAGAATCAAGTATAACTGTAAAATCTTTCATTGTCTACAAAACAAACCAAATAATGGCTGGGAAGTTTGTATCACTTCAGTTATACGTTCACAAACTTTTGTACACACAAAGGGCTTAAATAAAGTCCTTAACTGATGTCTTTGCCATTTGCTCTATTCTGGATGTTTTAGTTATTAAGCACTAATAACAACTAAAGAGCTATAAGTAAAATGAGTAATAAAAATCTCATCAAATGCATAAGTATTTCAGCGTTGTTAAATAAAAATTTGAAATGTGTTGCTATTGGAAATTTCTATTTACATTTACATATTTAATTTCACTCTTATTAACTCTTAAATTCAATAGTCACAGGGTGCCACAAAAACAGTGAAATTGATGGAAAAGCCCACACACAGAGTGAATTCAGAAAGTATTCAGACCCGTTTATATCACATTGACATTAAGTATTCAAACCTTTTGCTATGACACCTGAAATTTAGCTCAGTGCCCCGTTTCTCTCGATCATCTTTGAGCGGTTTCTACCTTCAATTAAGCTGATTGGACATGACCTGGAAAGATACACACCTGTCTGTATAAGGTCTCACAGCTGACTATGCATATCAGAGCAAAAGCCATGAGGTGGAAGGAACTGCCTGCAGAGCTCAGAGACAGGATTGTGTCATGGAACAGATCTGGGGAAGGATATAAAAAAAAAAAAAAAAGAAAAGAAAAAAAATACTCACTGAAGGTTCCCAAGAGCAGAGGCCTCCATAATTCTTCCAGATCTCTTTCAAGGGCCTTCAAGGACCACACGGCCAAACTGAGCAATCAGCGGAGAAGGGCCTTGGCAAGAGAGTTGACCAAGAACCCAATGGTCACTCTGGCTGAGCTCCAAAGATCCTGAGTGGAGATGGGAGAAACATCTTTTATTGCAGCACAAGACCACAACATAGCAAAATGTGAAACACACTGAAGGGGTCTGAAGACTTTCCAAATGCATTGTGTGTATATACACCCAATATAGAAACCTGCCATAAAAGGATATGTTTATATGTATATATAGCGCCCTTACACACTGAGTGACAGCTACTTTGTTTTTGCCTTTATTAGAGAATCCAAAGTTCAGTTTTCAGTTGTATAAATTAACACAGCTGAAACAGACATATTCACATACAGCATCATTCACACTCACATTAATAAAATACAGATGGAATTCAAACACACCTTCAAATTAAAAACCTTCTCATACTTCAGAAACAGTCACTTCATACAGTGGTAGCAACATACTGACAATTCCCTCTTTATAAGACAAGATTCAGACTAAGAAGAACATTACATATATGCCTACATTTAAAACTGTTCATCCATTTACACAACAGCTAATATAATGCCTCAAGTCAATACTAGAGTCCTTTAAAATGCCTATCCTCACAGTTCTCTACTTTACACCATAGCTGCCACGAAGATAACTCATTTTAACTCTTAACTGCAGACCTGTGAACCATGAAGTCACGTGTCTTGCAGGAACATTTATGTTCAAGTCTATGAAGCATTTAACAGGCGTTTTTTTCCACAGATTTATCAGATCTCTGTTGTCTTGTTCAGGTAATGTTGCCACACAAGGATCTGAAATTCACTCCCATCTGTTTAAACAATCCTGTGCACCACACTTTTCTATTTGTGGACCATGTCCCCACATCCCAAAGCCAAGCAGTTTTGTGATGTTGACAGGAGACTCCAGGTTAAGTCACAGTCCTTTCACAGGTCTTTGAACAGTGGGTGCAGCAGTGCCTGAGCCGCTGTGATCCTGGTGGCAGGGTTCAGGTCTAGCAGCCGGTCTAGCAAGTTGTATGCTTCATCAGGGACTTTGTCCCAGCCCCGCTCATCGTCCTCTACCTTGCAGTCTCCCCCTGAGGTTTGTTCAGCGAGGCAAGTCGAGGTTCGTCTGCTGCCTGACTGCTCCCGATGGTTCGGGAGACTAGAAGCTCCATCTTTATGTTGCTTTAATGTTCCTTCAGTGGGACGATGTGTAGGTGTATCATCTTGGATTTTTTGATGGTGGGTGGTGGTGGTCGAGTCTCTGCTGGCTTCAGGAAGTGGCGTGACTTCATCAGCTGGCGATGGTCTTCGTCCTCTCAGCGTCTCACATAGTGTTCTGAGATCCTGCCGAGGTAGATCCCGACTGCACACCACCGCCTTACCTGAGTTCAAATCCAAAACAAGTTTACAATCTACACACAGCCTTACATACAGGACATCACAGTGCTGTAATTCAGTTCTACTACATTGTTGACTTAATCATGGTGACAAACAGTGTTAATGGAATAATCAAAATACAAAAGCGGAGGCCTCCGTTTCTGAAGTAAAAAATATGAATCCACACCAAATGACTTAGCGGCCTGGATGGTCTCTCTGGAGCCTCGTATGGTCATGATCTGAGTGAGAGCGATCAGGTCATCGCTGGCTTTGAAGAACGGGTAACGGCCACTGAGCAGTGAGAGCAGGATCACACCAGCTGACCACACGTCTATGGCTACAATGCAGGATGAGAAGACGGGACAGCGCAACGGTGAACATCAGTGATAGTGAGGCATGGTGAGGAGTCAATTTTGCCTCTCTACAGTGGAGACACCTACCTGTCCCCTGGTTGGGACACTTCGTGAGGACTTCTGGTGCTCTGAAGCCTGGAGTTCCAGCCCTCGGTGCCACCTGCTGCTTCCTTCAGTCAAAACCAGGGACATTAAAGAGGCATTTGTTCACAACAACACACAAAACAGAAATCAAATATCAAGCTCTTCACACAACATTTTTAGATTTGTAGTGTTATAAAGTGAGTGGCTTGTGACAAGAGTTTCATCTTATAGATGCGTGGTGGTTCCTATACAGGTGTCAATAAAACTTGAACTGTAGAGGTCATATTTCTGAGGAGAAAACAGATGCTATAGATGTTACATTATTTAAATTGATGACTAAAATATGAGTAGAAGGGATTTCTATCTCCTTTTTTCAATTAACGTGTGTGTGTGTGTGTGTGTGTGGCTTTTTGAGTTCCTATTTAAAAAAAAAAAAAGCCTGGTTCAGTGTGATGTTTTTTGTTACCTGGACATGCAGATATTGCAGACGCGGTCCGTCAGGTAGCAGTTACAGGTGAGGCCCTGGTGTACAGTCCTCTGAGGTTTCTGACTGCTGCTCTGGCTCCTGACAGGCAGGGCCCCCCGGCCGGCTGAAGAGTACCTCCGGCTGGCTGCGTCCTCTGTTTTGATGGGCTTTACCAGCTAAACAAAGACAGGTGAAAATTTTGATTTTATAAAATGAAAATACATGACGACACTGAAACAAAAAAAAACCCTTTAAAATACCCTTTAAATGGTTATCTTTAAAGCAAATAAAAAGGTCTTTTCAATAGGTTCACAACTTTCATTTATTTGTAATTTCAATGGCTGTGAGACGAGCTGTGTTTGGAAAAAAATCACTCCATTACTATAAGTACTTGAGTTATGTGTAAGTGAAAAAATTCTTTAAACAAGCTGTTGTCAGATAATCATACATAATCACACTGATGTGTTTTGGCTAAATGACTTAAACATTTATTTTTTTAAACGCACGTTAGAATTAAATGAGTACTGGCATCTTTGGTGTCATCTCTCCACTTCCATCACCTGATATTGAAAGGGACACGACTGAAACCTCTTATTCTTCCAAAATCTTACGTTCTACCTTGCTTACCTCTGTCTTAATGGCAGCTTGTTTTGTGGTGGAGGGAGCTGGAGCACAGCTGTTCAGGTTCTTCTCTCCAAACACAGGCCGCGGCACTTTGCGTAGTCCTGTCAAATCCTAGAGAAAACAAACATGGACGGGAGAATTTAGCTAAATCCAACACATTAGTGCAAAAAAAAAAAAAAAACAGAACAATAACAAATGCAAAGGTAGTTCCATCCAGGAAATCCTTAGCCCAATACCCAATAAACTTTAATACAATTGTGCTCTTATTGGACAAAGAAAAGACTCAGAAAGACCAGTGAATGTCAAAATAAAAATAAAATATCAACTTAGTGCACCTTTGTGTGCTTTGTGCGAGATGTGGAGGTGGTGATGGTGGTGGTGACAGAACGTGCTCTTTTAACTAGTGCTTTCCGAGAGGCTGAGGAAGATGTGGTGGTAACGGTAGTAGTGGAGGAAGAGGGGGATGAAGGTGGCAGGGCTGTGTGTTGCCGTGGAGGCAGAAGTAATGAGGTTGAGGCTGTGGTGACAGTGGTAGTTTTGGGATGGAGTCTAGTTGGTGCTTTGCTCCGCTGTGTGGTGTCTTGTTTCCCTGTGGACCCTCCACCTTTCTGTGATGGCCTCTGCCTCACCACCTTCAGCAACTCGATCTGGGTGTCCGCTGCACCCTGAGCCAGGCCGAAGTCCACCAGGGCATACCTACACACACAAACACACATTTTCAACAGGGAAACTAATTAATGCTTCATGTGCTATGTGCCCATTCTGCATATCCAAAGTTGAAATAAGATGAGACCGGGACCCCCATCTTATCCATCTCACATCCCAACCACCCAGGGAAGTCGAAATTTCCCCATTAATGGATGAAATGCAATATTTGCTGCTATAATAGACAAGACAAGACAAGAAAGGTGCAACTACTCACATTTTGCTGTTCCTGTTGTAGAGGAAATTGTTTGGTTTGATGTCACGGTGAATGATGCCAAACTGGTGGATGTGTCTCAGGGCTTTCAACAGGTGGTAGATATACAGACGGACCTCTTCAAAGGTTAGTGAGCCAATGATGTCCTGATAAATACATTGTGATTGGATAATAAGTTTTTAAATAGAAGCCAGGAAACATAAAAACTACTACTATATCAAGACCAACAACTACTTGATTAATGTTTTGAACATTTTTGTGTTCGTGCAAGAGTCACACATGATGTCACTGAAAAGCAGAAGTAAAGTGCATGACAGAAACTTCTTTATGACAATGAACATACCACAATAGCTTGATGCTCCATATAGGGCATGACAATCACCACATGATCCTCCTTCCTGAAGCAGTAAGACACCCCCATCACATTCTCTGTGCCTCTGAAAACAGAAAAAAAAATGCATTTAGACAACAAAATTTAATTCAGTGTGTTTTGTGATTTCTCTGCGTGATGATGTCAGTTTTGGCCAGTCACTTTCAAAAATCATAATAAAAACACTGATCAAACAGAAGTATACAGCCATATATTCAAATGAGTGTTTTCTCTTGCATCTATCTTGCCAAAGCAGCCGTAAATGTGTTGATGTGTGTAGGTTCAGCTGAATCATGAAACGTTAGACAAATGAGGAACCCACACACTGATTTTCTACTGCATAAAAATAAGCTTTCAGTGAAGAGATCTATTATGATACAAAAGAGTTTTTTATTGACTTGTTTGTGGGAATGCTACTGGTTTATTAACAACAGCATAAAAAAATAAATGAAGCAAAGTCTGGAAATGTATTATAATGATGCGACTTTAAAGAATTTTAATTAGCTGTTGAGTTCTATAAAAAGGCCGTCTGACAGTCTAGGGGCACAGAGAAATATCTTGTATGTCACTTGATAAAAGCACAGCAGTATTTAGACTCACCCAGCAACAGTGAGACACTGAAGCTCAGCAGCAATGCGTGTAGGGTGGCTGGTTGGGATGAGGTGCTTCAGGGCAAACATCTCTCTCCTCCCATCCTGCATCTGAGCCTCACCCAGGTACACCGAGCTGAACGTACCTGATACACAGATGCACATGTCATGAGCACATCACCTCTTCTGCTCCAATAAATCCAATGACCTTAAACAAAAATGTCTCTTCAGCAGACAGTAAAGAAAAGCGTGGATAAAGATATGCAGAGCATGTACCTTCTCCAATTTTGTCTATGATGCGGAAAACCTTGGCCAGCTGAGGAACAGCTTTATACAAAAACTCAATGTCCATCTCCACATCTCCTGGAAGGAAAAATAAAGTATAATACTGTCACACATGCACAAGACATTTCTTGAATTCTACATTTTCCTCCACTCAGGTCATTCAAGATCAGTACGTGCTGGTGTACAGGTACAAGTTTTACAGGGATGCCTTTGTTACAGGCTTTCCTTTAAGACAGTGATTATTTAATCATATTCCTACCATAACATTTTTACAAAGTGGCATACCCCTCTATTTAAAAAAACAGTTTGATGAATATTGGCTGTAAATATTTCTGCTTTTCAACCTGGTATTTGTCAAAATGCTAATATAGTGCTGCATCTATACTCAAATGCTGATTGTATGTCTTTGTTTCTTTCACATCACAGTTAAGTTTTTGTGTCCAACTTACTCGAGACTTTGCTTTTCCTGTGACCTCTGTCAGATTTGGTTATACATCCGTCTGTGCTGATGCCTTCAGTGCACACAGGAGACAACTCCATCTGAGAGACATGAAGAAAGAAAAAGGGTGGAAATGTTAATGACAAAAAACTGAAACGTTTAAGTGATTACCATACAGTCACTGTCAAACTACCTGTAAGAGGCAACGTTAGGTTGGATAGTGTATGGAAAACTATATCCACTTCATAAAGCGAGTGGTTATTGGCAAACTATCTGGTTAAACTGCCATGGTTGGACAAGAACCAAGTATGGCTAATGTCTATCTAACTCAGAGCTGTTTACCTTGTCATTACAACTACACTAGCATGCTACTATTAGCTACAGTCTGTCAAGCTAGCTCACTAAAGCTTATGGAAAACAAACAGAAACTCACCACTTTATTTAGTCGTAAAGTGCAACAGTTCCTCAAAAAAGCATTTCATAAAAGCGCGGTATAGCGTCGAGCTAATGCTTCATCAGTGACACATTAAATATATAAATCTCACTCCGTCTGCGGATGAACAAAGTAAACTGCTCAGACTTTCACAGTGAAGCTTTTCCGCCAACAACAAACTCCGCGCTAAAAGTTACGTCACACATCTCGCGTTACAATAGCACAAATCACGTGGTATCGGATATTAGCTACAGTTGGCGTTACCCAACAACAGAAGTGAAAACACCAACTTTATGTGGTCCACACCATTATTTATGGTCCACAATCACTGTGCTGCTTACGTCTTACACTTAAACATGAAATTAAAGGGATGATCTCCTGTAACATGCAGGACTTTATTCTCAAAACATCCTCAGGCTAAAAGTCCCTAGGAACTTCAAAACACGGGGAAAACAGAACAACAGCTCATTCCATTTCATTTTTGTTTAAATTTAATTAAATGAATACATTCATTTATGGCGTTTGAATTTAATTGTTTTTAATCTAATGTAACTGATTCAATTTAATAATTACAAAAAAAAACAATGTCTTGTTTTTACTTAACTTCATTAAATATATTTTCTAATTCAATTTAGAAATGATTTAATGTTACTGATTGAATTTAATGTCATGTTTTAATTTAATTCGTTTAATTTCAATTTTATATAACTGTATTTAATCATTAAATTTAGTTTAATTGGTTTAATTTAATGTAATATGTATTACTTTTTACTATTTTTTAATTTAAAATATAATTCTTAATTTAAATATAATTGATGCTTTTTATTTGCCCTTTTATTTAATTTAAAATGGTATTTAAAATAATCTAATCCACTACAATTCATACTCTAACACATTGATTAATATTTTACTTCACATTTACTGACACATTTACTCTCAACCAGTCACTATTAATCCAGAGAGATGATGCCATCCATAGCAACAGGGTCAACCTCATCCCTGCACTTTTGTCTCTCTGTCTCTCATTAAAAGTTTCTCTCAGAAGCTTTGTGTATAGCTCTTAAGAAGAAACTCTTTGCTAGAAACCTTTAGTGCCATTTAGGAGGACTACCAATGATAAAATAAGACACGTGGCCGCTGTGACTGCAAATACAAAAATGTATTCAACACACACAATAACTTAAAGGATGCCAACTATCACAAAGCTCCTTCTAATTAAACAAAACAAGTTGATTTTTATGTTGAGCATTTAGCCAAGACTACACTGTATAATCTAATGAACAGACTTAATTAAATATATTTAACGAATACATGAATACATAAATTACATTAGTAATAAATAGAACTAACATTAGAAACTATTTAACAATAATGACATGACTTTAACATTTTACAACCTGATGTGAAGCTCACAGGTTAAAGAAAGCTTAACACAAACACATAACAAAACACTTGCTCATGACATATTTATATCAGAGTAAGACAAGCCCTACTTCTAAAATATACCATCAAATATCCCAAGCAAAGCTTCCTCCTCTTTGCTGTTGATGCTGAAGACGTAGCATGTAAAAAAAAAAAGAGGAAATCAAGTGAAAAATATACTTCTGTAAAAACGTATTCCAGATAGATTGATTTAATTATTTATTAAAGAAAATATTGTAATCAGTCAAAATAAAACCCTTTTAATTATATTTTGCAGTACCTTCTGCTGACACCTTGGCTGGAGTTGGCCGAGTCTTTCATTGTTGAGAAGAAATCAAACCTTCTGGTTGCTGGTGCCACGTGCGTCTGTTTTGGGAAATTTTCCGAGGCTTTTACTGTGATCTCTTCACTGAAGATGCTCGTTCTCTGCATGAGGAGGAAGAGAGGCAATTGTCACATGAGCCAAGTACCTCAGCCACTGACCACACTCCTGTTAAGATTTTAGAAAGGTTAAGCTGTTTACAGGCACATTTCATTAAGCCTAACCTCAGTAACCCCATTAGCTATTAATAAACTAACAGAATACTCCTGTCCACAGAGAGAAATTCCCATCACCAAAAGAGCAACATGAATCCATGGAGCTAAAAACAATGGAAGGAGTATGTTCAAGATATTTACATGGTGCAGCAGACAGGATAGTAATACTATGATGTGTATTATGTAAACTAGGCAGCTCCACTGTGTTTCTCACAACCACAGTATGATAATTAGTGGGTTATAAAAATCAAAAACGTCTACACAAACAACCATGTAAACAATAGTGTTTTCCATGTATGTAAATGTAGTCATTAAATAGCAAAAGTAGCATGTGCAGAGATCTCTGGATACACACACTCACCTTCTTACTCCAATCGAGTGTGATTCTATTCTGAGGTCTGACTGTGACCAGTGAGGGTACTGGTTTTCTGATTTCAGGACTTGCGTTTGGTAAAATCGACCTAAAACACAAAAACATAACAAACGTTTTTTCTGTCTTAACCTACGATATGAAACGTCAGTGAACAACTCTGTATTTTCTGAGAGGAGATTTTACATAATTTACACATTATTTGATTACTGGTGTTTGAAACAGACAATTGGGGGGAATATGAGCATGCGTTTCTGCCTTTACCTCAGTGGTGTACTGGTAGTGGTTATGCAGGGTTGGACCTGTGAGGGACTGAAGAGTAGTGGTGCTGATGTAACAGCAAACCCTACACACAAAATGTGTAATATTGTAATCAAAATCATAGCAATAGTGGAGGCATAATGTAGTAGTTTATACAACAATGATGGAAACATGACTGTGTATGTGTTACAATTACTTCTTAATAAGATGTATGAAAAGCGAACAAATTGATCCTCCATCTCTCTCCTGCGTAAAATGAAACTCTACCTGGCACGTTGTACCCAACAGGCTGCTGGATTTGAGTTCCAGCATTAGTTGTGCATGAGGCAAACGCTGTCTCACTGGCATGCACCAAGTTCTCATCATCAAAGTCACCCCAGCTGTCCCATTCATTTCCAAGGTCAAAGGTGATTGCTGGTATTTGTAAGGATGAAGCTGTTTCACACTGAGTATCCTGGTTCGTTACCACAGTGGACCTCTTTGAGAAAGCTGGGTTGGATGTATTGATTTGGTTGAGATGCTGTTCAGGGATTTGACTCCAGCCACTTGTTCCTGGGTTCATCCACACTGACGAACCTGAATACAGAAGAATTTTTAAGAAAGGATGACTACACCGTCAAATGTTACTGTACTATAGGCTTTCTTGGATTCAGTCTGAAAAAAGTATCTGCATTAGATCTCCTCAGCTTTGGTGTTTTCCACCATTCACTACTTGACTAACCAAGTGCTTTAAAGTTGTCAGTGGTAAAAGTGACTATCTTAGCAATTTGATTGATATATAATGTCATTTCAATGATTGCTTAAATGACACAAACAAACTGTGTTGAAACACACGCTTTCATTCTTAAATACATTTTAGTGTAAAACACCATGTGTAAATTTTGCATTCTTCTGTTTGTGTATTGTGTATTGACTGACATACTGCAGTGTCCAGTCCACAGTGTGTGAGGAAGCAGGATTGGTGGTAAGTATTGTAGTGACTGAGCTACAACCTGCAAAACCACCAGTATGGTCTCTCTACTAATGAGTTAGAGTTAAGCTGTTTGCCATACTTTGAGGGTGAGCATGAGATGCAGCAGAGGTTTGGACAGGTGTTTCCATCATCCTGTGCATGTCCCCAACGTAGTCGTTATAATCTGATAAGGAGAGAGAGAGAGAGACAGAGAAATATACAGTCACAGTCATATATGGAAATGCGTGGAGTTCAGAGTCATCTTCTTTATGCCACTTGCTTACCGCTGTCAAAGTCGTCCAGATTAACTACATCTGTGTGATGAGCACAGTCTTCTCCTGTCAGATCTATGGTCTCAGTGTGAAGTCTCCCTGAAGCTTCAGAGTGGTTTATCCCATACCTTCAGATCCCATAAATGAACATACTTAACCACCAGGCCATCAGATTACTCTGTTTCACACATTTTACTCTAATCTAAGTTGCAGCAGCAATTTATGGAGCCATTCAAAGTCTAAAATATCAGTGTAACTGTGAATACCAGGAAACAGCAGGAAGCCTCTCTTTGGGTTTGTAAGCAAACTCCTGTATGTTGACAGACACAGACTCCTCACTCATTTTCATCTGAGGAAATACAACAAGAACATCACACACACACGTGTTCATCTTAGTAACACTGAAATCTCTTCTTCTTAAGAATTTCATCGTTAGACACAAAGACTATGTTTGCCATTCTCATTTAGAAGAGTAGTATAAAAACAAAGCGATGCACATTCAGCTTGCACATGTACAGTACACATACTGTATGATAACTGCATCTGGAGTCGTGGATAGAATGTACATAGAAACACATATTGTATCTAATCTGTGTATTGTACGTTTATAAACCAACACATGTATTTTAATAGTATTCTCATATACTAATACTACACAGTATAGTACATGTTTGTGTATAATAATTACGTTATGTTACATATTTAGTTTTATTGCTATCATTTCTGCTGTTTTCTGTGGCTTGTATATTTCTTATTTTTCTTTGAAAGAATTCAACATCCCCCACTTGTATCATTGACATTTCTTTTAATCTTTTCTTAACCAGTGTTGACATGGCAGTGACTCATTAGTTTATTCTGCAGAGTCAACATGAAATGTTTTCTGGAGAAAAATATCTCAGGTAAGTGCACTTTCCTTCCTGTTCTACTGTGTTGTGTGTGAGGTATTGGATGAGATTGGTGTAGGATAACACAACCTCCGGTTTATGTGTTACAGCAGTCACAGACAAACCTGAGTTCAACAACTCTGTTTTTCGTACGATGACTACAATGTATGTGTAAAGTATGTGGCGCAGGCTTGGATAGACTCCAAAAATCAAATCGGTTGTCTTCCTCACCTTGAGTCGTTTGACAGGAGTCTGCGCCAGTGTGTCACACCTGTTCCTCAGGTCTTTCAAATAGGAAGAGAAACTGGATTCTTGATTTGCTGACCTCTTCCGTGCCACAGTTACACCTACTTTACCTTTTGAGACACATATGCACTCTCATTGGACAGACTGAAGGAATAACACCTCTATAATCTTGACAGGCACACAAAATAATGCACATTTAGATACATGAATGCACGAAAATACTAGAACAAGGTGAAAGATGAGCGGTTGTACTCACAGCAGTCGTGGCCACAAAGATCCTTGTTCTTGCAGAAGTGGTTGCACTGTCTCTTGTCGCCTAAATCTGATTATAAAGTTGAGTTGCCACATTTTAATAGAGAAAAAAAAGTCGTCAAATATCAATCTACCCTTTAAACATAGTATATCGATATAAAATATTTAATATATCAGAATCAACAAAATCATCAGTAACAAAGCTACAGAGCAGTGCCTTGGTCTGTAGCACATGGGGCATTTCCCCCCTGAGGTGTAGCCTGATCTGTAGACTGTGGCCTCAGTGCAGAGAGCTGCGGTCGTTGTCCAGCAGCATCATACAGTATGTTGTTAGGATTATCACAGGTGCCAAACCTCCTGGCTCCAGAGTAGTACACATTGAACTTCTGCTGGATGTCGAAGCCCACTATAGGAGAGAGGGCAGTAAGTGTCGTAGATGTACCTAACATTGATAGGTAGTCCAAGAGTGCAGACAGGATGTGCAAAAAAACAGATGCACATTAACTGCAAAGACTGTTGTTTGATTTGATTTTTTTTTTTTGTCATGATTATTTTTTGATACAGCAAAAATGACTAATGCCTGAAAATAGAAATGTTTCTCCATTTTTATTTAACTTTACAAAAACATAATAATTGAATAATCATCTCATTTAGCTTGACACACTTAGACTTGTTTCTCAGTGATATATCTCAGCTCAGCTACAGGACTGAATTGCAAAACAAATGTTGAACAAAAGGCATGGTAATTTGTTCAGTTTACAAATAAAAGGAGTTTGTACTGAACAGAACAACATACCGTTACAATATTTCCATGGTTTACTGCCTTACCATATTCTGAGCTGATGAGATTTACACTGATCTCCTCTCCCGCTGAGGCCTTCGCCACCTCAATCTTCTTCGACCAGCTACCACTCTTCAACAGCACCAAGTCCCTGAAAAACAAAGATGGAGGATGCCAGCTGAAAATCTATTTACTGGAAATTCTTTTTTTTTACATAATGGTTAGAGAGGGGAAAGAGAGGGTAGGTGAAAGACAGTAAAGTTTGTTGGAAGCCTGGGACACAAATATTTGTTTCTCACGTGAGTTTCTGTAGGAAGACCACATTGTTGTCAGAGTCTCCGATGATCAGAGAGACATAGTGGTGGTCTGGAGCTGTTTTCCTGGACAGCAGCTGTGCTTGGTTTTTTACGTTCACCTTCACCACAATCTCTGCTATTGCACAGCTATACCTTGGAAGCTACAAAATAGCTTATATATAAATATACAGCAACAACTAAAAAAAAGACAAGAATAACAGAACTATCCAGCGAATCCTCACTCGCAACAACATCTCAAAAGTCTGACAAACAGAAAGAGAAAAGCTCTATTATATGATGTTATATAATGTCCTTGATAATAATATTGTGCAGCGCCTTTTACCTGCTCCAATGTGACTTCATACTTCGGGAAGTGTATGACAGATTCTCTGATTTGGTTGCCAAATGGTGGATGTCTGTTGAGAATCTGAATGAGAGAAATGAAGTTATAACAAAGCATATCCAAATGCTTTATACAATAGTAACCTGAAATTATAGTTCAAATAACGATTACATCAAATGCTTTGGATTACCAGACAGTGATTTCTTTTGAAATATTACACAGACTCACCAGCTCGAGCTCTCTGGCATTGGCTTGCTCTATTTTGCTGAAAGTGGTGAGTCCAGCGTTCACCATGGCAGTTGAGAGAGATTGGCCTGAAACACACAGCGTGTTATTATCAAATGTTTAGATATTGCATTTAATAGAAAGAATATTTGGTTTATTAATTAATTCATCTTGTAGCAACTGTGCATATTTTTTTTTTTCTAAAATAAACCAGTGTGTGTCCAAGAATCACTAAAACTATATTTTATCACTGTATTTACATTGCTTAGATGAAGGGCTATTATATAGCATAGCAAAGTACCCACCTATCTTCTCCAGCTGTTTGGAAACATAGGGTGAGTTCTCCCAAAGCTTTGATCTGAAGCACTTAGCTAGGATCAGGGCGTTGAGCAGAGCAGAGAAACCCATCTTGTATCGATGACTCAGAAACTCTGACAGACCTGATTAAAATCAAAATACAATCAGTTTAAAAACATACAGCCAGACAACACTTTGTTTATACGCTGTCCCTGATTTACACAACATACATTTGCTGATGCGCATCCCGTTCCTGAAGATCTTTGCTGTCTCCTGTGTAAGTCCAAACTCTTGAATTGAGATGGAACCGAGCTGAGCCTGAATCAAGCTAAAGACATGACAGTGAACACATGACACGTGCAGAGGGCAGTCCATGGGAAATTCATGAGTGCCTTTATACATTAAAAGTCATAAACCAGTATTCCTTTTTTTATTCAGCACTGCTTTTCCACAGGGAAAGTGCAGAATACATAAACCTACCAGTTGACTTTCATCTCACTGGTTTTGATCTTTCCCTCAATAGGAAACCTGGAAAAATACATAAAAATGTAATTTACTATGGCTCTGGTCTACCTCCATCATTGTGCCTTTCCCATCCAAAAGTTAAATTAAGATGGTGCAAAAGGACTCAGCAAACAGAATATACTCTATATCTAATTGTGGATCCTATAAATGTCTCTGACCTGATGGTGATCCTGTTCTTGTCCCTGTTTAAGGTGTTCAAGGGCCTCTTCTCATTCATTCTCAGCTGAATGTCGCTGAACTCTCTGCTCTTTGACACCAGCTCGATCTGTACATACAAGCTCTTTTGATCTGAATACTATGTTTTTGCAATGCCATGCAATATACAGCACAGCACAACACATTTAAATCTTTTCCTTTTGCAGGAATACAGTGCAACACCACAAAATGTCGATTTAACTGCATTTTAATCAAATACATTTGTCAGGAAACCTACCAGGTCAGACAGCGTCTCCGTGCCAGCCACTTCGCAGAACCGTTTCATGGTATCAAAAGCAACAAAGTACCTTGCCATCAACCTGCCAGCCTCTTCAAAACCAAAACAAATAAATGACTTTTATATCCAGAAGATGAGGGTCAGATGAAAAAGAAGTAGTTAAAGGTATAAATGTCATCCATGTCACTGATCATAGGTTAAAAAATATCTAAAGAAGAATACATTAAACATTTTGACTACTATTTAAATAAATTTCCCCTCTACCTGTTGGTTTGATGTTGATATCTTCATCCATGTTGATCAGACCAATGGAGGAGAGAGAGTTGAGGTTCTTCAGACACAGTTCTAAAAAGAAAATGAGAGACAGTCGTCACCTTAAACTACAAGTAGTAGGAACAAACTACTTTGGTGACCTCAAAGACTTCAGACAGAACAACAAACGATCATGGCCCACCTTGCAATTTGGCTTCGATTCCATATCTGTCTAAGTCAGCAGAGAAACCTGAAATGGAAGTTGAGGCACACTACACTGACTGATTTTACAAACAGTAATGACAAAGACGATAGGTACTATTTCTGGCATTTTATATGCATTTGTGCTTTGCGCTCTGACCGTAGTGTGTGGGGTTCTTGAGGGCTCTGATGTAGAGGAAGGTGGAGCGTATCCAGTCCAGAGCCATGTTGACATGACTGATGGTTTGGAGAACAATCTCAGCATTCAGGTGCTCCACCAGGTGACTGTGTAAACTGGGGAAACAAGGCATACTGTTACCTCCTGTAATACTGTATGATCTCTCTCCTCCACGTGTTCACATGTGAAAGAGAACAATAGAGCCTAATGACACAGCTACTATCCAAAATACCTGCTCTCAATGATTTCCATCCCATTCATAAGTTTCATATACTTCTCTCTGGTTTGGACCTTGGTCATGATCACTGCAGTCGCTGATGTGTCAAACTAAAAAAGGAAAGAAAAGCCTAAATATCGGCCTTAATAATAGTTAAAAGAGATAAAGTCATAGAAATAAAGTATTCCATTATTGTTCTGCTGTTACCTGTGGTCTTCCAGCTCGGCCTATCATCTGCAGCAGGTCAGCCTCGCTGTACTCTTCACAGGAGCCTGCAACATACTGCACAGTGGACTTGATCACCACCAGATGAGCTGGCAGGTTCACCCCCATGGCCAGAGTCCTGGTAGTAACTAGGATATAAGAAATGAGATCACAAACATAAATTCAGTGCCCATAAAATTCAATAAAAACCTTTTTAAATCATCACAGCAAGTGGTAAAAGTCTGCAATTGTTTTGCACAAGTGTGTGGTTCCTGGTATAATGGTTTTAATCAGAGACACACCAACAAGTTGGCATATGATCAATATCAGTGGGTATAAGCTTTTAAAACAACATTGGTGTTAGTACAATATTATTTTCATTGCTGACATCGAAATGCCATTTTTATGATCTTCACTGTCTCAAAATGCAACAGTCACATTAGAAACAGAATAAAAGTTTCTCAGTCTCATTTGTTACTTATGGTAGTGGCTTGAAAAATATTGCATATTACTATTTACTTAAAAACATACCAGGATAGGTCATTTCAGGATAGGTCATTTTTCTTCATATTATATTACCATTATATTACCATTAAACAGGCATTTACATACATTTTTTACATTTCTGCAGATGCAAATCTTGGGAAAATCCCAACACAATATGACTGAAGTACTTAATGACTCAGTTATAACCTGTGACTATTGTCTTTCCTGTTTGCATCTGCAGTGTTACAAAGAAAATAAAAACACAGGATCATGTTGCATACTTATATAGTCTCATAGTTTGTATTAGTGTCAAAGTCTCACAGAGAACAGGCAAGTCTCCCAGAGTGAAGGCCTCTTCTATCAGCTTCCTATCTGACAAGTCAACTCCTGCATGGTGGTAACCAACTCCTAACATGACCAGATCTGCCGCATAAACACAATACAAGCTTATGTTATACAGTTGGTAGTCTAAGTCACACTCAAATCAACATGTGCTTTCTTAGTAGGTCTGGACTGAAACAGGTTTCAAAGTTTGTATCTAATGGGATCTTACCGTTTAGCTTTCAGAAGGGGATTGATGGCTGCCCAGAAAACTCACCTCTCAGTTTTGTATCCAGAATAGAGTTTGCATATTTTATCAACCTAAACAGGATTGTAAAGTTACAAGAAAGTCAAGAAGATCAAGCTACTACGGTGAAGAATGATGAAATGTTTGGGTAGGATATGTATAGACATTATGGATAAGGAAGAAACATACCTTTGCTTGTGCTCAATGCTCATAATGAATCGAGCATCCTTGGCCAGAACTGCAGCTGACGTCTGGACTCCTTTCCTGGTAGAGCAAAACTACAGAAAAACAGAAGTAATCTAATATAAAAGGACAACAAACACATGCACAAAAAAGGACACATAGTTTGCCCCAGTTTCCCAACCCACCACAAGAGCAGGCTTCTGGTCAGAGTAAGTCTGTATGATGTTGGCCATCTTGTAGTTGAGTGACAGGTCAAACTTAAACTCTGTTTGGCTTGGGTTGCACGGGAATCCCAGCACCACCTTTCTCAGCTTCACCGGGCGATGGCTCTCATCCATATACAGATATGTGGCTGGACCGCTCTCATTAGACAGCCAGTCTGCTATCTAATAACAGGCAGACAGTTCAAGAATTAGCCACAGGCTCCTGATTTATACTAGAGATACACTGCAAACATATACAGGACAGAGTGCTGGCTGACTTTCTTTGTCAGCTACTTACATCAGAGATGTTGGGTATGGTGGCTGATACAGCCACAAACCTCATAGAGAGGCCTGCGTCTGGATTCTGTGCTCTCCTGTAGTCGTGTACCGCCTTCATCCTGCTCACCACGACCTCCAAGGTGGCACCACGGGTCGCATCTTTCACCACATGAACCTGCATGAAAGAAATGTTTCATCTTACAGTTGTCTGTAGTTTTTAATGGCTAACCTCAAGTGAAATAAAGTGCTGAGGGCTGAGGCTAATGATGTGCCATCATGCAATGTGGAATAATTAAACAACGTGAACAGTACATCTGTGAGTACACGAGTGCCCAGTGAGCATCCACCATAATGCAGTCTGACTGTGAGATGCTATGAACACTGAAAAATAGGCCTGTGAACTAAATATCTAACAAACACACTGACCTCATCAATAAGGAAGAGCCTGACTAGCTGCAGCAGACAGTTATCCTTCCATTTTCTTGTCATGCTGTCCCATTTTTCCTAAAAGAACAAAAAAACTTTGTGCATTCAGGTAAAACACCAGGTCATATTCTTTTCCACTCCTTCAAATTTTGTTGTATTTGCTCAGTTGAAATCCAGTATAGTGTCACACACCGGCGTGGTCAGGATGATGTGAGAGTCCTGAATCTCAAAGAAGTCGTCGATCTCTGTGTCGCCTGTAAGCTCCTTACAGATCAGTCCCAGAGGACCAAACTTCTTCTTCCAGCTCTCAAAGCACTGACTGCACAGAGCTTTGATAGGGGCCACTGGCAAGAACAAACAAGGAATCTTTTTACAAGACTGACTCAAAAATCAAAACACTGAAAATGATACACGAGCAAGCCAGAAGAAAAATGTTACATCAAAGCCCCAGTGTGTGATTACAGTCAGGTGTATTGTGTCAAAACAATGTTCCCTTAGCTGGTTTTGTTTAAATTCAGATTTATTGTGTATAGAATTCCATTCACTTCCTCAAGCTTTTGATACAAAGAGCTGACAGTTTGTTACAGCACGAGCTTTGTTTACACTGGCAAGGGGTATACAGTAAAGTAAATGAGATCTGTGTTTTGAATCAGTTCCAAAAAAGTTTCATGAAATACATGGTTTCAGGAGGTTTTCTAAGCTTCCTAAGTAGGAATCATAAATCCCAAAACTGAGACTGGAATATACAACTTTTCAAATGCAATGCTGTATTTTCTGTGAGTATAACAAATTATTTCAGGCCAAGTTTAGTCAACAAGTTATACAGAATAACGCTGTATGCTCACTATAGACAGCTTTGACGTCTCTCCAGGGCTCTGACGTCTCCATTAGAAGGCGAATGATGGCCAGCTCAAACAGCACCGTTTTACCCGATCCAGTAGGAGCACATGCCACAAAGTTCTTACCTGTGTAAAGAACCTGTGAACAAACCAAACTTAATACATTAATTATTATTATTATAATTAATTAATACAGTCCAGGTGACACTCCAGGTCATAGTTTGTAACAAGACAATGAATACCATCATGTTATTCATAATCTTCAACATTGTGTTTGTGAAGGCTTTCAGATAATGCTTACGTCATCTAGTGCTTTGGACTGAACGTAGTTGAAAAATGGGAACTTGTTGAAGACGGATCTGAACTTAGATGCTGTGTTAGCATAGTTCAGGAAATCAAACCACATCAGTTGTGAAATTACATTCCAATCATACTGGCACAGCTCAAGCTCTATCTAACTTTCAAATTGTATTAACTTACACAACAACAAAAAGGATACGGATTTCAGAAACAGGTCGCAAAACTTCAGACCCAGAAGAACCTAAAATGTTCACAGTTCAAACATAATCAGACTTTCATTCTCAGCCTCACTCTCACTGATCCCTTACTCATTTTATGTTATGAGGCTTTTAGCATTTTTCAAGGTGTAACATTAAGGAATTAGTTTGTAGTATTGGTAAAATTAAACTTCAAACGTGACTGTACACTACAAGGCTTCAACTGTTACTGCCTACTGCTTCTACTGTTCTTCTATCTACCACCTAGTGTCCAGCATGTTTCATTACACTGGAGCGGTCAATGGGGAGAGCTCACCCCATTTCACCTCATCACACCCTAACACATTGTGGCAGCTGCTGCCACGGCTAGACATGGGAATACTCATTAGCTGCAACACTTTACAGCAGCTATATGAGTGGTATTTGGTAAACCAATCATAGACTGTGAGCACAGCGCCTGTCTGTGACTGTATTAATGCAGTGCAGCACCTTGTATACAGAGCGGCTGAGGCATCATGGGCGGAACGAAAGCTCTCTTTGTGCCCTTGTCCGGCATCTCTGCATGTGTCGCCTGCTGCGGGGGTCGGCCACTTGCTGCAGATGAGCCCAGTGGAGGGGGTGAAAAGGGGGGCTTTCGGGGGAAAGGAGGAGCTGCTTGGCTAACTGTCGTCCGTGGCGGTTGAAGAGGAGGAGGTACTGTCGCCATGGTAACCTGACTGAGAAAAGTTTGAGGTCTGGATGCTGTCTGGCTGCTGCTGCCGCTGCTACTGAGGTCATCTGTGTTTGAAGAGTCACCTCCACCGTTCGACACCTGAACCTTGAACAAGCTGTTATGGAGACAATAAAGAATTGAAAGAGGTGGAAGGTAGAATCAAAGAGGAAAAACTATTGTTGCGGCTGAAAGGTTGGAAGCTTTTTTGAGGAAGGCCAGGCATTCTTGCCTCTGGCAACAAGGCTAACATGGGGGATGGTTTTGCATATTTCCATGTTCTTCTAATGAACTGTCCACTGATGTAAAAGTCAACTCTCTTCATGATTCACTGTAGTCCCATTTTAACTAAGCATATCATGGATTCAAACAATTTCAGGGATTAAAGAGTGAATCAGCACTACATTACATTTTTGGACAGGGAAAAACTGGAAACAAGGCTTTAGCGAGTAACATAAATCCTGCTAATTTAAGCATTTTTAAATCATGTTCTGCATCCACCTCCAAGGAAAGAAAATCCTTGTTGACCTGATTTTTATGGCCTTAAAATTTTACCATTTTGTACTTTAGGCCACATATCAATCTTAAGGAATTATACGCTTTGAAATCAGAAAACCGTTTCTGCCCCCAAGTGTAAATTTCGTCTCATCTTTCAAAATATGTACAAGAGGGAGACTCTCTGAAAACAATATGCACAGACTATTTAATTTGCAATTATGTAAATGTCGTCTTGACGCTTGCCTTCTCCGTAGAGGTGGGGTTTTGCTGCAGTCCAGAGACAAACACCTCCTGCTGATGGCCGCGTGACCAGAGTCCTGCGGAGTTTCATCTCCACCTCTGCCACTGTGACAGGGACCCTGAGAGTAATCCCTGAACCCTTCACCTCCCCAAAGGCCATCACATCTACTGATGCTGTTACTGTTGCTGCCATCTTGAGTCTCCTCAATCTCTTTCTCGTCATTGTTAAAACTGTAAGGAGTGTTGATTTTTGATAAGATGTCAAGGCCAGCTGATACTTTGAAAGGAGGGAGAAACTTCTTGGATTTCGGTGAGAAACCTGTGAGTAACAAAGTAAAAGGAGAGAGAGTTTCATCAAATCAAGTTGTTGTCATGTTGTTGTTACGAGTGTGACTCTCAAATCATGTGAGAATGATTTAGTGAGATGAAAGGAATTTACGGCAGGAAATTCCTGTTATACTAAAGATTATGGGAAAATGTCCCAGATCCCTGTTTGTTTTCGCAAATCAACAAAAATTGGGAAAGCTTTCAAGAGTATTCAAGCTATCGTGTCAGTGAGTCACAAAGTTAGATTTAGTAGGGCCTCAATAGCCAAGATACTGAGCAGTTTACTCAAGTCAAGTGAAAAGGAATTCATCCTAATCCAGAGCACAACATACTGTATAGGGTAGCAAATGTCTCTGCCTCCTTCTGCATATCCTGAGTGGCTGGAATCTGAGAAAGAGATGGAGGCACTTCCAGCTGCCAAGGACTGGCCTCCTGGTGCAGTGGCTTTCTGTCAGATACAATCCAGTAGGAAAAACATTGATAAGTTGCTAAGAGAGGAACCAGAGAGAGGGATGATGTGGAGTATTTCTTTGTACTCACACTTTGAGGACAATGGGTTTCTCAAAAAACAGATTGTCCAGAGACAAGGTGCAGTCACTGGAGTCCAACATTTTATCAGATCATGTAGGCGTGCACACTTTTAAATGCAAAGAAGTGTGATGGATCCTGGTTTGGAACATCTATCTTAAAGAAAGACAAAAAACCCAGAGATCTTACATGGACACAAACACTAACCAACAAATATATCTGTATAGCTATGTATTCACAATATCTTTTATGTGGCTGAAATTCATTTGATGGTTGAATTAAATGAAGAACAATTGCTATTGCAAATTCTGAGGCTTCATTGAAGATCTGTTTTGGTCTGGGGCAACAACGCTAAATGGGAGATGATACATCTCATAATATATCATCTGATGCCAAAATCAAGCCTCCAAATGATGTGGCTATTTCCATATTGGTTGCATTCAAACTATCTGAGGGATTAAAGAGTAAATCATCTCTACATTACATTTTTTGACGAAAATGGAAATATACGGCTTTTATATAGCTACATGATTAGCAATAATCCTACTGAGTTAGCTTTAGCATTTAATACACAAAACATATGGCATAAATAAATAATTTATAAATAGTCCACCAGGTGAACAAAGGTGTAAGAGAAGTGTTTTCTATATTAGGCTGGATACAGATAGGAGTTTCCAAGTAAGATACTAATTTATGTAGCTATTTTTCCGGAATAAAACAGTGGAGTTAACTGGTCTTTGCTAGCTTAGCTGCATAGAAAAACGGTAAACAGCAAGCTGCCAACGTTCAAAAATCGACGGTTATCTGTTAGCATCATCTGCGTACTTTAAGCAAGAAAGTTCGTCATTTTCGAAGTTATCAGTACTATTTTCTCGTTTTGTACCCACCTGGAATAAATAATGAATGTAATCCACGGATATTAAGACTGGGTTTACTCAGTTTAACCCTTGACCCCACCAACTCTGACATTAGCACCTCTTTGCCTTGTTGGCACAGATTAAATCACCCATCAATAACGACTTTATTAGCACACTTTCATCTACACTGACACTGTAGCTCGACTTAATTATTTATTAAAAATATGAGCTGCAGCTAAATGTTATCAATTTTTAACTAGATCGGCTGTAACATTTGTTTACTGTGGAATTCATTTCTTACTTGAAGTGTATGCTCAAAAACAGTGTGTTTTCTCTTTAAAACAGACGGAGAATGAATAACTGAACCGGCTAATAGCCGGTTAGGAGCAACAAAGACCTCTGAGAAGACATCCATGGGGGGATAGTGGTAACATCTCTCCTGTGCTGACATACAATTCTTGTCTGTGCGTCAATGACAAGTTTAAATATCAAAACCAAGTGTGTTCTTTAAAAAAACAAACCATATAGCAATTAATGTTTCAATTCATGTTATCAATTTAAACGGTGATTAACCGCCATCAACCTAAAAAAATCTACTACCCAAAAGAGATGGTCATTAACTCAGGTTTTTTATGCCTCCTATCTGGAATGAACCATTACAAACCTTTCGGGGGAACATGGCGCCGTCTCGTAACATTACGTGACGAAATTTTACGAGACAATAACTTGAGTAACTTTTTAACCATAGATGTTTTTTAAAATAGCCACACAATCATATGTAATTATTAAAAGATCTGTTTGTTCTGTCACTGTAGAGCTAATTGTATGTACGTTTGCCCTTACAAAAGAAATGATCTGTCCCACACCAGACCACCACGGAAAATGGCGACTGTGAAATAGATGGAAGACGAAAGTAAGAAATTATTCAATGCAGCGTACAAATTGTGCCCTGTCTTCATCTACACCGCTCGGAGGTAAAGTCTATTTGTTTTTCGTCGTTTTATTGATATCCGTATAGTGAGTAGCGAGGAACGATTGTCAATAGCTATAGTTTAGCCTGAGGAATGGGTTTTGGTATGGAACAGCCTTAATGGAATGGTCTGCAGCTCCTGCAAGCAGCATCCAACAAGCCAGCGTGATATAAACGCCAAAGAAATGCTATGGTACCTGTACGGAAGATAGTATAGATAACCCAGTTTGCTCTGAAAGTCGGTACCTTTGGAAACATATCCCAACTATTGTTGGCTGGCATATAACTGAACTACTGTGCTGAAAGTTTTAGCTCTATACAAAATCCACAACCGCTCATCAAAAGCCATTTACGGGGTCCATCCCTTTGCAGTTTTGGTGCTGCTATGTAGATGTTACAAACACCTTTCTCTGCCACAGCAGCGTTCACTTGGTATGACACTTTTATTGCCCTTCAAATCCGAGACCTCTCACTCCTGCGACCTTGTAGCGTTATAAATGGCCACAATTAATCATCTAAGCAAAATGTCAGGTATATTTTATATTTAGCTATATTTATTTTGTGGTCAGTGTGTGCTGATTGGGTCAGGACAGTAACTCTGGTGACACTGTAACTAAACTGTTTACTTTTCACATCAAACAGGCACATTCAAATAAGCCAGACTATCATTGCTCATTGCTTTAGCTGGTAAAACACAAGGAACATTCATTATTGGGCTTCTAAAAGCCTGAATAGATTTGTGTCACTATTGTATTTCTGACATTTGCTAAAGCTTTATTGACCTTAAAGTATTGACCATCAGCTGGTTAAACCATCTTAACCATCACTGATTTATATTTGTGTTTAGGACTGCAACTCACCTCTTTTCATCATAGGTTTATCTGCCAATAATTTATGCCAACTAACCAATTAATCACTTGGTTGAGAAAATGACAGAAAAGTGACAAATACCATTAAAATGTGCCGAAACCCAGATTTTTTCAGATTACTTGTTATGTCTGACTGACAGTACAAAACCCACAGATATTCAGTTTACGAGTATCACATAAGGCAAAAAGGTAGTAAATCGTCACAATTTAGAAGCAGGAATTGGGGAATGATTGGTGTTTTTGATTGAAAAAAGACTTAAACAATCATCAAAATAGTTGCAGAATAATTCTTTGTGACTCTACTAATCGTTTCAGCTCCATTTGCATTTTAAACACAACTAAAATGTTAAAGCCACAGTAGCAGCTTCTAGTGGCTGCAGTGCTCATTGCACCCTACTCTACAAATGTGATTATATGGCACCAACAATGTATGGATGGTTTTGCTGTTCTTAAAAGTTTAAATCGTAATTTTTCCTCTGAGGTGTTGCTGATATGCCTACATACGTCAGCTAGCCCGAACGTGAAAATTAAACTCAACGTCGCCACCACTTGGCCTATGGAGACTGAAAGAACCGTACTTGTTCACCACAGGCAGTTGATAAGGAAGATAATGTGGAGCAGGTTAAAGAACAGCTCTGCGATGTGATCCATTTCAGTACCATTAGACAAATTTTGTTATTTGTGAACAAGTGAAACCATTTCCAGTTCTTACTGCAGTTTTTGCATGATCCCAAATGAAAGAATACAAACTTCATTGTTTCTGGTTTTAAATGACCAAAGCTAAGTAAACTGCTTTCCTGTAGCTAGGTATATTTGACTTTTGTCATCTAGTAAAACTACATCAAGTACAAACCTTCATTTCACAATGACTGTAAATGGCAAACAAAATTAATAAAAAATACAAACATGATTATTTTGGATAAACAGTATAATGAATAACACGATTAAAAAATGTATGACGGATGCATCTATTGATGCGTTGGAGCTACAACAATCAAGGGGTTGAGTGCTGAGACGAACTATGAATCATTTTATAAGCCATAGGCATCTATGGAAGGACCAGTGGAACATTTGCAACAGAGATTTATGAATACAATTTTACCAGTGGGGATAAAAATTGTAAGTTTGTCCTGAGGGTGGTAATAAAGGAAAAACCCACCTTGTGTGCGCAGTTGACATTTTGGCCGGAGGATGGTGATAAAGCTTAGGGAGTTTTTAAAATAGGAAGAATTTATCCTTTAGGCCAAACTCTGACCAACTTGAGCCAGGCTCAGTTTTTGCTGCAATGATGACATCTGACACTGCAGTGGCCAATCAAATATGTGCAAGTGCACCAGTAAATTACTTTGTAACGTGAATGCTGTATTTCTGCCGTTTGCGTAAAAATCATCACAGCAAAAAACAAAATTCTTGCAACTCGGCTGACTTTCCATTAAAGTAAACTCTTATCTGTAAGTATTAAAACCATTGTGGAGCTAAACTTCTTGAGTTGTATTTCATCGCCTACTGGTCCGCCCCTACTGACCTAGCTCCCTGCGCTGGTTTAACATAGGGCTGTTTTCGATCTGAATCTCCACTGAGGGCTCCAACAGGCCATGTGTGGCAACCCATACACAAGCTTATCTGCAGGTGCATGCGCACTCAAGTTACACTCTTTTCCATTCGAGATTTGTCGTTACTCTCCAATACTGTAATGGACGCTATTGATATACCTACAGCAAGCAAAATTTAGGCTGCTGTAGAAGAAGACAGCAGGAAAAGCCGAACATGGTGGTTCTTTGTTACAATTTTTACAGTGGCTGTATGTCAGCACAGTACAGCATGTGTGTTGGATGCTACTTGCTTTTATGTTCTTCTGGTCTTTATAAATATGTTGGTTATCAGAACATCGGTGTGTTTAGGCAGGAGGTGGAAACAAATTCATTTGGTCCTTGTTCCCACAGACCACTGAGACAATCATCAACAAGGAGCCATGCATTGCTAGGACAGCAGCTGATCTTCATGTTTCAAATTTCATAGTGCACGCACTGGATTAGCACGCCAGCCACAATTGCATAATTATTGCTTTAGCAATAGTTTGCATTGTGCACCTGTCTATGTAGACGCATGTACTATCTTGATGATGCGCCCTTAAAATAACAATGAAATATTGTGCCTTTGACTTCGGACTGTGGCTAACCACACCTCATTTTAAGACCAGCACGCCCATGGGGGCTCAGATGGCTGCAAGTACATTTGTTATTTAAACAACGAGGGTGCTGGAAAGGAAAATCACAAATGCATCAGTCTGAAACTCGCGAAGACATTTGCACTGCGCATGCCTCAGCTTTACGCCAGGTGTAAGATGGGGCCCTTGGAGGCTACATTAAATAACATCAATAACTGCAGATTCAAACAAAATTCTTTGTAAAGTTCTTAAAAAAATCTAAAGATTTGTCAAAAAAATTTGCCATTCAAGTAACACTTTTTCTCTGTGCTCATTTGCCTTTCTCCTCTCCTATTTCTAACAAGTCATGTGTCCCAATCACATACTTGAATCAGGCACGATTGCATAGAACTGGATACTAGTCTCCAAGATGGCACCCATTAATTCCAATAAAAGCCACTTATGCAGCACATAAGCCAAAAATGTTTTCTTTCTTCTTGTTATGCTTATGTGTTCTGCAGACCCCTGCTCATGAGCTCAAGTATTTTTTTTTCCCCTGAGGCCATCAGCCCATCCGACTGACTACAATGAGGTGATGTCATACACAAATTGACTAACTCATTGCCCTGTAAAACTGTGTCTGAAAACACGCAATCGTAACTTAAAATATTATGCCATCAAATGTTTAAAATCTGAGCGGTGTAGTTACACACACTGGTAATACTTTCACAGTCATTTGGGCCTGATTGCTTGCAGAAACCCTATAATATTCTACCATTGTTGAAGCAATGCAGGATAAGGCCATATTCAGACTGACTTCAGCTCTACGTGAATAAATGCTGCCCTCTCAATCTTTTGAATGGAGCCAGTCTGTTGACGCAAAAGTTCAATCTCAACAAATACATAGAAATGCACTTTCCTGGTATATGTCATTGCAATTGTGGTGATAAAAGATGAAAAATAGTTGCCACCATGTTCAATTTAGAGTTGTAAAATCCTGTCTGTGACTATTACAAACAGTTGTGCAGTGTTTGTTGTTTGATAAGCTTTTAAATGCATTAATCTGTTACTCAAGTTGGACTCCCTGGAATCGTATTTCATTGTCTCATAGGTACCTTATCAAGATGCCCCCTGAGCTATTTTAACACTGGGATGTTTTTGGTCTGAATGACGCTAACACCATACATTTATACAAACACATGAAATCCCAGCACAAAATTCAATAAGATGAAGCTATGAAGGCCACATAACTTATTTAAGAATATAAACCTTCAGAATACGGAGAGAAGATTGAAAAGCAATATCCCTGTCAAGATCAGTTATGTGTTATTGTGCAAAGATAGAAAGGCCTATGTCTAAAGTGAAAAAGGTTTGCATTTAACCTTTGGGATGCTACAGTGCTAACTTTGGTTTTTACTTAACACTTGTGATGGTGGAATATCTAAGAAGGCTTTACTTTTCTTTTCCAGGTCATGGCAGCTGAAATGTCATGTCTGACAGGTGTTGATGAAGATGACAAAGATGCAGATCCTGAGATCAATGCCCTCTCACTCCTGCAAGAGCCAGTGAGAATGGCTCAAGAATCAGCCTCTTGCACCGATTCTTTCGGCAAGCCTTCTCTGAAACAAAATAGTGTCCTAGATGTTATGTCAAACACAGATATGTTGTCTCCAGTTGGCCTGGGAAATGGACCTTCTTCGCATCAGGCTACACAAGCCCATGAACTCAATAGCATCTCCACAGAGAAAGAGGAGGAGAAGAGCATCACCCCACTAAAAACTGTGCAGGAAATTGACACTGCAGGAATTTGGGGTTTTGACGTAGACTCACCTGAGAACTCACTGGATAATTTTAGTAGTGCCAGTGACCTTCATTGGGACCCTCACAAAGAGTTTATGCAATTTTTGTGGGAGAACCATGGTGATTCTCCTGGTGAGGAGCCTAAAGAGGAAGTCCCTCCAAGTAATAGCCAAAGGAGAAGGAAACGGAAAATGGACATGGTTGTCATGGTGGATCCCTCAGAAGACCTTTACCCTGATCTGAGCCGCAAGTCATCTGAGGAATTGTCTGATACCGAAGGCCCAGAAGACTCCATTCCTGTCAGAAAAGTCCGAAAGTCAAGAAAGTTCCCCAAGTCACAGTCGTCGCCAACAGGGAAAGTTTCCAAGTATCCCAATGGAACTGTAAAGGCCATCAAGGAAATTCTTTACAATGCCCCTGCGAGAAATTCACATGAGAACAGTATAGGTCATGGGCTTTCACCATTAAAGGGGAGGCTCACAATAAATTCTCATTCAGAGGAGAAGCTTTCACGTTACCCTTGCTCAAAATGTAAGCTAATTTTCAAGAAAGAGCATCATTTGCATCGTCATATGAAGTCTCATGTTGACCCTCCGAATATTTCGCCAAAGCCTTTTATATGCCGTGAATGTGGACAGTCTTTCAGACAAAGTGGTTCACTTATTGAGCACATGTCCATCCACCAGGAGAAGAGAACAAGACTCACTGAAGAGGTCAAAAGCATAAATGATAAGAAGAAAGAGGATAAAAACATGAAGCTTTTCTGCCCTCAGTGCCCATTTGGAACAAACTGCCCAAACACGTTTGTTCAACATGCGAAAACGCATGAGAAGGACAAGAGAAAATTTAGATGTGACAAATGTAGCTTCAGGACTCTGAGTGAGAATGACCTTAGGAGACATAACATTATGCAGCACACTGTTATTACAGTTAGAAAGCAGATCCAGGATGATGACACTCAAACCTTCTCCTGTAACGTTTGTTCTTACAGAGCTTTTAGCAAAAATGTTTTTAAGAATCACCTTCTGCGGCGCCATCAACAAAGTTTTGAGGAATACGAAGCTGCAAAGCGTAGAGAGAAAAATGTGCAGATCCAGAATGACGACTCTGAAACCTTCTCCTGTAACATTTGTTCTTACAGAGCTTTTAGCAAACATGTTTTTGAGAATCACCTTCTGCGACGCCATCAACAAACTTTGGAAGAATACGAAGCTGCTCACTGTAGTGACAAAAATGCACAACCATCTAGGGAACAACATGTGCCTACTTGTAAAATCCCTGTTGAAGATGCAGAGTTTACATCTAAAATCTCAATAAAAAATCAGATCTCTTCTAGAAGAGCTTGCTCACCTAGTGACTCTAATGACATTTCAGACTTATTCAAAAATAGCAAGATTAAGAGAGGTCTCAAGTCTCAACTGACAGAATCAAAGCTTGACAAATCCATTAATGTTCTCCTGTCACGACAAAGACATGGAAAGAAGACTACTGAACAGAAGAAGGAAAGCAATAATTGCAGTACATCTGTTCAGAATTCCAAAAGTGACAAAGATGGCTCTGATCAGTTGCCAGGAGCATTGACTGTCAAGGTTGAAGATTCAGCTTTATCCCCAAATGGGCCCTCCAGTGCAGCTGAAAGTGATCTCAAAAGCATGGGTGAACCCAAGTTTAACGTAGATCAGTCCACAGTCAAAAAGTCACCGTCTAAACGGAAGATGTCCACTCCATATCGCAACACCTGTGACCAAGACTCATGCTTCATCTTATCAAAACCTTTGCCAAGTCCCAAGAAAATAAACCAAGAAGAAGAAGTGGCCAACTTTGATGAAAAAGACATTTTCCAGTTTAAGGATACAGATCCCAACACAAATTCTTTTGACAATGGAATCAAGAAAGAAAAACAAAACATCATTTATACCTATAGCAGAAGAATGTCCATGAGGGGTGCTCTGCAGGCGTCTAAAAGGCTGTTTGAGAAAATAAAGACTGAAGAGCAAGAACAGACTGACCCTGAAATCAAAGAAGAATGCATAGAAACAGAAGTATTCCAAGAAACCTTTGACTCCCACCAAATACCATTGCGGGAATCACTTGAAGATGATTTGTCAGAATTGGAATCAGACCGCAAGAACTGTCCGTACTGTCCTGCAGTCTTTGAGTCAGGTGTTGGATTGTCCAATCATGTCAGAGGGCATCTTCATAGGGTTGGATTGAGCTACAATGCACGCCATGTAGTGCCTCCTGAGCAGGTGGCTTCTCAAGACAGGAGGCCACGAATTCGACGGAAGATTTCAGCATTCAGGAGATTGAAAAAAGGTACTTCAGTAATTACTGCATGTTCTTCTATTGAAACTTTGGTGTATAACAACTTGGCTTTTATTTTTGTGGTTCTGAGTCAGTTATTATTAAGCCTTACTCACTACTTACCTAAGTAATTGTTGACATCTTGGAATGTGGCGCCACTGTGCAACTTAAGACAAGGGGTTAGACTGTTGTAAACAAAGCAAAGAGATTAGTGATGAATGGGTAAAAGTATTACCTGAATTGTCCATCAGTTTACTGACTGACTTCTTAATTTAACTATTACCTAATGTACTTAGCATAATTGTGTGCACTTACAGTTTTTCTGTGAAAATTAAAAGAGACATTATGGATGCACTCACTTTCTGTTCTACTTCCAAATGAAATTGCAGCTATTCGGAAAAAAATGTCTTTCTCTTGCATGATTTTATGTTGCCCCACCAAATTTTTATAGCTATGCTCTCGTGACTGGTCAACGGGCAGACCTGTTTTAAACTTGGTTTAAATATAGTTTTCCTTTATATGTACTTTGTTACGAAGTTCAAACTAATCATATGGTACTTTTAATGCATACTGATAATGTTTCTGCTTATTTCTTTCTTTTTTTCCAGTGTTACAGATGGAGTCAGATTCTGAGACTGTGAAGAGTATTCACTCCTGTCCATTATGTGGAGATTCATTTGATAACAGGACTGGGCAGTCCAACCACATACGAGGCCACCTCAAAAAGCTTGGTAAAAGCTTTTCAACAAAGAACAAATCCCCATTATTTTTACTCCGGGAGTTGATGCGCGACAAGAAGGAGTTCCAGCGGGCGCTTCAAATTCTGGGAAAGAGACGGAACCATTTCCAGTATGGTGCTTCACCAAAGCTGTCCAACGCTGATCGTTTCACGCCACCCCCCATTGGAATCCCAAAAAGTAATTCTATTCCAAGAGTTTGCACTGATGCCAAACCACTGATCTCCACGTTTTCTTTAGCGGAAATGGAACCTGAAAAAAGGCAACTAGAGACTAAGTTGGATGTTAAAAATTCACTCTCAGGCACAACTGCCTTGATAGGAATTCTGAAGAGGAGGAAGTGTCAGGAAGACGCCAGACTAAAGGGCTCCTCTCTGATATCAAGGAACTCTTTAACAGTTTCTTCAAACAGTGAGCACAGTTCAGGATCAAGAGTTGCAGCTTCACTGCCAAACTCAATATCCGGTAAGTAACTTCCAGATAGTAGTAACCATACAGGTTAAACAGGAAGTGGATTACTCCAGTGTTAACAGTTTCCTGTTAAATTGGTGTCATCCAGAAGAATCATGTAATCCTCTTGACATATTGTGTTTACAAGTGAAAACGCTATGTAACAATTCAGAAACTTACAATTTAACTGTTTAGCACTGTGGGATATACCCATTTAGCAACAGTATATTGGTCAAGCTAGTCGTAGTATCATGTATCATCTTTTCAGAAGGACCAGTATGGGATTGACAGATAAATTCAGGTTATAAAAACATTATCAAAGGAAAAAATAAACATTAGACAAGTGTATGATCATACATGTTTTTAAAAACAGCCGATCGTCTACCACTAATGTCAAGCCTTAACTTTTGAGGGTTTGTGACGGATAAACAGAACATTGAAAAACACACTATTATCCACAGTTCCTTTGAACTGTAGAACTGAGAGTATTAATCATTAGTTTTTATTATTATTATTATTGTTATTGTTTAAGTGGGGTGTCGTCAGCATAAAGGCACAGAATGAGGTTTCCCAATTACCTGCAGATTATTTGGCCAAAATACAAGAGCATGCTGCAAGTAATAATGTTGCAAATCAGCATTATTTTGTCTTTGTCTCATATCCTTAATTTCATAAAAAAAAAAAAGTACCAAATAGCAGAAATGATCTATACAGACTTTGTAAGATTGAACAAAGACAGAACTTGTTTCAATACATTTCTTAATCTCACAATGTGGGATTTTCTTGATGAAGGAGTGTTTGCTGAAAAAGAAATAAAACAATAAACTGAGGCTGCAGTAATATTTTCTGATTTTGGAGTGCCACTATTCTAGTTTATAATGTGGAACTTGTCAATACTGTCAGTTCAATAGCGCTCTTCCTTCACTGCTAAGACCTTATTTTCTAACTTTTTTCTAACTAAATTTTTAAAACAACATATATTGCATATAGACTATCAAAGGTCAGTATAAACACATTCATTAAGTTCACATCAAAAAGAAAACAAAAATCCTTTTGTCATAATGAATTCTGTCATTTATTTAAGAAAGAAATAGTTGAGTGGAGACATTACAAACCTGTCACACAAAGGGAGAAAAGTGCTTGTTGTTAAGTCCATTTCTACAATTCATCAACACTGCTAACAAATAAGTATCACTATATTTATGTTCTCACTTATTTGTCTTTGTATTTTCTGTCTTGTCACAGAGAAAGGTGAATTCAACAGGAAGGTGTGCGTCCATTGCAATGCAACTTTCCACAGTGGAGTTAGCTTGTCCAATCACCTCCGGGCATATGCAAAACGAAAAAGGACTGCCTTACTTGAGGGAACCAGTAAGTGCCATCGGCCACACCTAAAGTTAGATACCAAAAAAAAGAGACTGTCACTGTGCTCCTTGTACTCTCCTACAACCAGTGTTTTTTATTAACTGGTTTTAGCTATTTAAATCACTTTTATTCATTAAGGTTTACCATTGTTGACTGGGAAATCTGTGTGACGGTGTGAAATGCTGATAAACCTGCCTTTAGGCACAGAAGTAAACACAGTATTTCTTAAAGGTACCCTGTGAAGTTCCTATGTGAACAAACACAGTTATGTTTATATTCACAGTTTGTCACCAAAGCACATAATGCATAGGCTTAAGAGATGTGTGGGAAAAAGGTTTCCTTCCTTTCAAAACATCTGAAATCTGATTTGTTTTTTCTCTGGAAGAGCATGAAACCATCATTCAGGAATGTTAACACATCACCTACTGTATGTGCTCAGGATAGAAACAAAATGGGAGCCAATCATAAAACTTTACTCCACAGCACTTCTAGTGGTCAAAACCTTTCCTTTCATAGAGGATATTATATAAAAGAGCCATGTTAGTGCTACAATACTTGGCATAATATCATTGTCACCATTTACTACAATCTCAAGAAAAACACCTTTAGCCTCACCCTCACTTTCTCAATGTTCTGACCAAAAACTAATAATCTGATCAGGAATGCAGTGAGTAAATTTTACCTGCCTAACTGTTTGTGAGTAACTTCAGCACCTGTCAGTTTATCACAAAGGAAAAACATTCACCTCCACTGTATTGGCATGTAAGCAGAAATCTCAGCACTAGAGCCAAAACTACCTGTGTGGCTAGATACCACAAAGGGTTTTGAAGTCCAAATCAATGTTATATTTAGTGTACCAGTGGTTATTTGTGTCCTCCCCATGGTGAGGATCGAGAAGAGTGTCAGCCAGTGTGATGCTACAAAGATTTTAATTGTGGAGTGTGGCGGAGGAACAACCTGTTCATGGCGTAAAGCCTTCAAGGCCTACTTTTCCTGTATGCACAGATCATCACACTTATTCATTAGGCCTTGTGTCTTTGCCGCACTGCCATGCAGCTGAGACACAAAGCAACACCATTCATTTCACAGGTCACAAGTCCAAAACAGTGGGAATAACGTAAGCGCTCATGTCCAGTGTCAATTTTCTGAACCTACAGAATATGTTATGTGAGAATGTACTATTGTTGGAGCATCATAGACTTCTGTCCATCGACATGTTTAAAGGCTGTGCTGTAATCTCAAAGGTAGAGCTGTAAATTAAAAAAAGTAAATTCTGTCTTTTAGCATTTGACTGTAAAGCAAGGAGACAGCGCTCAAGGCCTGGCTCAAAGAAGAAAACACTGCCCTTACCACAAACTCCAGAGGAAATGTACAGACTCACCTGCAGGTACAGTTTTCATTTCTTATTTAATGGACATACAAAATTACACTCTTTAAATGGTGGATAGCAGTCCAACAGGCCCCAGTTGTTTTCTAGTTGCCCAGGCAACCAGTTTTGGACCACTGACAAATGTTTATTGTGGTCTATTTAGTTTCTGTTGGCAACCCTTCTCATGTATTTATATGAAAAATCTGCCCAGATGAATGAGAGACATGTTGTCACTGATGTGCTCCAAAAATAAAGGAAGTGAGTGTGTAATAAAATAAAGCCACAAACCATAATGAATCTTTGTAGGACAACCAACCACACAGTTGTACCAACACTGAGACCAATATATCTAAACAAGGAAGAGTGCAGTACATGATGACGTCATCTGATGTCTTTTGTCAAGCCAACCAACCAACCAAACCCAAAGATATTTTTCAAAGTGCACCCATGGAAACATCAGAAGCTTCATATGATGAAGTTGCTTGTTCCGATTCATTGCTAGTGAATTTGTTTGTACAAATTAAATTAGAAACGAGTCCAAAAGTCTGACAACTTGTATCTATTTTTGCAAAACACACCATCAGTCTCTCCTTCTCTTTACAGGTTCTGTGACCTCGTCTTCCAGGGTCCGTTGTCGGTCCAGGAGGACTGGATTAAACATTTACAGAGACACATTATGAACACTAGTGTCCCTCATACTGGGCTAGGCATGGTAGAGGTCACCTCGCTGCCCACGGACCCCCCACCCATCAAGACTGACCAAGACAGCTCTCTGACAGCCACACATGCTGCCTCATGAAGCCAATGAGGATCCTTTAAGATTTCACTAGACTGTATGTGTATGTACATTGGATGTTCTTTCACTTTTTTTTTTTTTTTTTTTTTTTTTTTTTTTTTTTTTTTTTTTTTTTTAGTCAATTAAATACTGGCCAAAAGTACAGTACTGCTCAATGATCGAGGTATTGTACATGCTTGGACATTTGGACAGATGAAAGTTAATTATTTTGGATATTGTTACCTTTTTCTGTTTTTACATGGTCCATTTTTTGGAATACAATTCCAGATGGGCAGACTGTTTTCTTGTTTTATGCAGTAATGTAGTGTGGAATCCATTTATAATGAAGACAACTTTTACCTCAGATTTCTCATGGTTTGAGTCCGTTTTTGGTCAAAGTTTGGGAGCACCTCTCTTCTATATCAATATTCACATTCGTAAAATACATAGAATCATGTTTTTTTTTTTTTTTCGTACTGCAACATGTTGAAATCAAAGCCCACAGTCTCTGTTTTCAGGCCACAGAGTTACTGAGATGAATATTTCAACTGAAAGTGACGGCACCTGAAAGCTCTTGATAAACAGTTCCAAGAAACACAAATGGAAAAAGTGAGCTACTATTCAAGAACAAAAAGAATAATGTCTGCAAACTTGTTATGCATAGAAAGTGTTTTATAGTATTTCAGTAACTGCATTGTTTCTAATACAAATACAAAATTAAAACTGAAGGTGGTTAAGAAAAAAGACCTAACACGCACAGCCTGTGCTGGAAATGCCCTTCATACATGTCACCTATATTTAATGTTTAAATATACTGTTTTGAAATAATTTAATTTTAAATGTACTATATCACACAGATACAATGCTTAAAACATTTGTGTTGTTCTAAATAAAAAAAAAGCAAAGAAACAAATTGACTTTTTCTAATTATTTTTGCACAGAAATGAGAAACATTGGACCTGTAATTCAAAAAAATCACAAGCTTCATCTTCTTAAAGTGACCAAATGGTGATTACCTGGAGTTCTGTTACATGAACATGGACAAAATATGAAATGACAAAACAACATATGCACCAAAGAACAACAAACGTCCATATTGTGTGAACAAACCAGGAGTTTTTCTGACTAAACACGAGAATTGATGTGGCACTAATGTGGTTGTGATTCAAAGTCCATTACTCTTCATCTGACGCAAACAGCACCTCAGTGAAAACACTATTTTGAAGATTTCCAGTGATTTCCATCATTCAAATGGGCTGTCACCCTGAAAGAGAAGAATCAGTGAAGTAGTCTGATCAGTCAGACTTCATCATTGCCCAAGTGCAGTCCATTTTTAAATACTAGTAATTACTAGGAGCCTTGTTGAGTACTGTTTGCTTGTGCTACTCATTAGATGTAGTTTACTGAGGCTAAAAACAAATGTCTTACTCAAAGGAATCCATGAAATAATGTTTCTGTCAATTTAGAAAGATTTGGTTCATTGACCCTCGTATTCAATCCCAAAGCCACATAAAGAGGAGAAGAAATCCAATCTCATCTTAGTTAAACAGTACGGTGTTACTTTTACCCGTTATAGAGTTTTGCTGTTTCACTTTATACAATATTTTGTTGACATTAAGGCACAAAATGAGTACATTAGATGTTTCCTTTCCATGCCTGAGTACTTGTGTGTTGAAAATGTTGACTGTAGAACCTACAGTATACAACAGCTTTCATATTTTCACAGCCAATTACTTATAGTATTTGATTATTGTACAAATCCTGTGTAATTTATTGAAATATATCTTTTAATGTTGCATGTGACTGGCCAAAGACGACTAACCCAACCTCCCCCATTTGAAATAGCTTTTTATTTATCATTAGTAAAGAGAGCCGGTTGATAACCAGTTCACTAATTTGTACCCACATAACACTAAATTGAGCTCTAAAATTATGTAATACACATTGGATGGGGACGTCATAGAAAGGATGTAGTGTTCAACAACTAAAACCAAAAGCATTGACACAGATTTTGCTCCAAAGACCCAAGTACCATTATAATGGAACGAAATGAATGTGACATTGTTATTACTTTGAGGGAATTAATTATATAATTCATACAATATCGCTAACTTGAGGGAACCAAATAAATATACAGTAATAAATAATTTGAGGGAGCATTGGTTATTTGATGGCACAAATTGCTCACACGTAGGAACAATTTCTCAACAAAAAAAATCACGAGTCCATACTGTCATGTATTACGTATGTTATTAAATACATATACTGATATAATATAATGTTCATTACAGCTAAATACCTTGATGAAGTTTTCAAACTGAGGTTTCAGCTCATTCATTATGGTTTCTGCTTTGCTGAGGCAAGTACGTCTCTGCTGCACTTCAAACTCCTTCAGGAAATCAATCAATCAGTCACCAACTCATTCCTTCTAGGACCAATGTTGAATTCACACAAATGAAGACATATATATTGACATATAAATGAGTGTGCTTCTTTACACCAGTGTTACCTGTGTTTTGACGAGGTGTTCCTGAGAGGTAATGTGAGTCTGCACTGAGGATGCAGACGTGGATACTAAGACGTTGCAAGCTGCACAGTGGAACATTTCCACCTTTGTCATGTGGTCATTTTCCTGCAGAGCTGCCAATACAATGATCACACTGTATTTAAAGTTTGTTAGTCTGGAATAGAAGATAATAAGGACAATGAATGTTTCCTGTTTTTTTTCTACATATTTTTGACAGTTCAGAGTCATTTACCTTGAAGAGCACTGTCCTCTATGGCTCGACTACACTGACGGCTTTTATACAGCATGACTTCCTGTAGGAACAGAAGACGGCAGTCACCATCCAGACACAACAATGCACCAACAGTTGATGATGTTTTTATGGTTCAACCCAGGGACCCTCAACAGGATATACTCAGTCACCTGCAGGAAAGCTATAGTCAGATCATCGTAATTATTATTCTGCTGAATGTGCTCCAGTGTCCCCCAGTGGCTTCTGCTGTCCAAGTGATCCTCAAACTCCTGCCCATTGGCCAGCTCAACGTCACAAAGGTCACAGGTGATGGGGATCCTACAAGAAAAATATTAAGAATTAAACAGTTAAATAGCAGACCCTTTAACAGCCTAAGGTCTTCATATCATTCAGGCTAACAAAAGATTCTGAGAGTCCTAAGAGTTAAACATCTAACCTGATTTTAGGCTATAAAGTTGTATCTTAAAGTAAACTTTCACTTTTGGAGAGTGCGTTAATGAGCTAGCTATGTTCTCTCTCCCCTTGGTCATTCACCCAGTGTTTATACTGTATCAAAATGTGTTTATAACAGCAGTGGCTGACACGTGCATGCACTCTTTTTTTTTTCCTAACACAGTTTAGTTACACCTAGACTGAGGTGACAGTTTTTACACTAGAGGTGTAGAGTGTATTAAACAATTATACAATTATATATAGACAATTATATCAACATCTAACTTAGCCAACGATAGCTAATGACAACTAACCTACCACAGTAGTAGTACCAACTAACTTGCACAGAGGACGATATGAAACATAATGAAAACACGTGTGTCCCTGTTGTTGCTATGGCAATTTTACTATGCTATCAAATGGAAAATAATTGTGATGTGAATACTCTGCATGTAGCATCTTTAAACAATAGGGCATCAGTGTTCCTGGTGCTTACTTGTCCATTATAATACTTCTGCTTCTTTTTCTCGTCACCTCTGTGGCAGCTGTGATTTTGTCCACACCTGCAGAACATTATACACAGAACAAATGCACACACTGCAATAAATACTGCTTAATCATTTACTTTTTCAAACTATTTTCTCAAGTGTGTAATGCATGCAATTATGTTATATTTGAAATGGTTATATATAACAACATGACAATTTACCTGTTTCCACGGGCCCAGACTGGTGTTGATAATCCCGCTGTATCTTGGGCGGGGATAATCTAACAGTAGTGGTTATCTACAGAGGAGAGAAAAGTCTCTAACTGCTACCAAGTGTCACAGTATTCATTCATTCATATTCACTCCACACAAAAAGCAAACAGTGTCTGCTCCACAAACAGGGCCTGTATCCTGTTTAAGTCTACAACTCAAGACTGATTGTAACCTCTAACCCCAAACTAGCTTTCTTTCCCATGACTCACATAATGCTTGAGTTGATTTCAGGCTGTCACTATCGTAAAGACAGGTAAGTCAAACTGTAATACTTTCAGTCTTATCGATGATACCTCTCTCCTGTGTTCTGTAACTGTTATCCGCTCCTCCCCATTGGTATTCTGTCCTCCGTAAGAAGCAGGAAACTGTTGGGTGGAGGAGCTGTGAACAGTCCTGTCAGGGCTGCAGACCCTGTGCTCCAGAGGTCTACTTATGGAGCCATACCCCGGTCGGTCAATTGATTCAGTGCCTGGGCTATAACCCTCAGACAGTCCATGACATGGGGCGAGACCTCGATTCTCGCTGGGTCTGGTTTCAGGGCTAAATTCGCGTCTGTCAAAGGGTTGGCTCCCTGGCACAGAGTAGGATGAGTCCCAGCGGCGTTTCTCACGGCAGACTCCACCTGGAGACAAACGTCGACGTCCTGGGTTGTTATCCTGATTGGATGTGGAGTGGTAGTGGTTGTGGTCTTTGCTCTGTGCCACCTCGAGCTCAGAGTCTGACGAGCCAGGATCGTAAGGGTCATATAACTCGACTCTGAAGGAAATGGAAGCGGGAGAAGAAGTGTGTGTGTTACATGCAATTTACAATGATATAGATATAAATATACATCCGTAAGGACATGTTACCATTTACCATTGAATCTTCAGATACTATAAATGTCCTAGCAAACTACATGAACTGTTGGAAAAAAGACAAATTTGTTTCCCAGCATGAGATAAAACAAATTAGAAGCTGAGCACATTTGGTGAAGTTTGTCCATTTGTTTAAGCAGTTTCCTGCCACTTGCACTTTTACCTCACAGATTCCACCTGGAATAATATATAAGGAGGTCACCTTCAAACAGCCCACATTTCCACATTTTAAATAACCACAAAGCAAAGTTAAAGGCTCCAATGTGGGACGTTGTGGATTGTTACTTAAGCAGACATCACTCTCTACCTGTCCCTCTGTCAGAGGCTCCTGCAGGACTGGAAGAAGATCCCACAGCTATAGATTCAGAGGCTCATTACATCAGTGACTGACAGATGTCAAGCAGGCGGTGAAAGGTGGAGATTCTTCAAGGGACCCACAGAACTTCTAGTAAGATTTACAAATTAATTATCGAGGCTCCAGAATTCCTGACTTACTTTTCTAAACTGCTTGTGCTTTTGTCCTGAGAGTCGTCATCTTCTTCTCCTACTGGTTTGAATGAAGACTTCCATTTAGCAGCAGAATGTTTCGCTGTATAATACAAAAAGGTAAATAATGATACTGACAAATTATATCAACAGACTTAATGCATTCAGATATGGAATCTATGGTTACGATTTACAACCAATGAACTGTAGGAAGTTTTGTTTTTCTGTGTTTATTAGTTACTATGACAACAAGTAACACAATAATCTCCACATCTGACATAGAGAAAGGAAGCCAGAGATGGCTTTTCTAGATCTTAAACAGTTGGTGGCTATTTTAATGCAGATAATCCAAGAGCATTTATAGGTTTACAATCCCTAACAAAAACTATGTTTACTTTTTATTTAAACTGACTATTTTTGAATGTATGTCACAAAGCTTTTAGATGTATTTTTCCAGTAGTTTTAGGCAGAGAGACAAAGGTGCAGACACTGAACTGCAACGTCTCTTGTTTTAGTCACTCCTCATCTCTCTCTCTCATCTCATTTCCTGTCATTTCTCTACTGATAACTCTAATAAACCTCACATCATACAGGAATTAATTGAATCAGGGGAATGCCTTCAACAGTGGACAAAACAGAGCAGCCTAATTTGCTGAATGGCAACTTAAAATATAAGCAATTTGATGTAAATCAGTTAAAACATGCTGGCGTGGCCTTGTAAGGAGATGTTGTGTAGCTGTCTCTAGTTGAGCTTAGATGTCCACAGAGGTTACCTGCACGTTTCTGGGCTGGTGGTGTGTTAGCAGCCATGTCAGATGTCCTGATGTTTGAGGTGTCTGCTAGCTTCACTGGGATGCGTTTCATGGCTTCCATGAAGTCTTTGGGTACTCTGTTTGTCACACAAAACAAAAGTGAGAGCACTTCTACAAACAAGGTGACTACCACGATGATAGCAAGTGAACATGAATGTATCGGGGGCGAAGGCAGACTGGTGTTTTATCAGTGCTAAAGCAAACTGACTTAGCTTAGCAATTTTTGCTATTAGCTTTAGCTACATAGCATCATAGCTGCATGTTAAGACTGCGCAGAGCAGCTAATTACCTTCCAGGCAGCTGTTTGTACGCAGCAGCTCCTTGAGGTACAGCCGAAGGGCTGAACGGAACATTATTCTGACGGTTCATTGTCTGGTGGCGTTACAGGAGAAGATTAATGGGCATGTGTGTGTGCAGTGAAGCTAGTTCACCTTCAGAGAGCTGGTTAACAGATTCCTACACCTGCCGACAGGTGGCAGCATCCTGCAACACAAGCTGGACCTGCTCCTGTGCTGTGGAGTTGGTATTTACAGCCCCCATGCCCCCACACCTGTATTATATGTCACGAACAGTTAGTTTACAATAAATAAAAGCCATCAGTAGGTTGAGGACACTGTATTATCTTGGTTAGGCAGAGTTTGAAACATGTATTATTTCAGAGGTGTGTAATTTCCTAATAATCTCGTCAGAAGTTTATTATAGGGAAATTACAGGCAATGGTCTGCAACAGTTATTTTTAGTTAAATTGGTTTTCTTGGGTTTAAAAGCAGTTGATGACTGTTTCTAAACCTGAAAAACAGAATAAAATGATAATAATAATTAGAGGGATAATAGTGAAGCTTGCTGGCTGGCTTGCTGTTACCCAGCAAACATTCATATTCATATCATATCAAATGAAATGATAAGGACCTTAAAGTGGGTCCTGTATATTACCTGTATTGTCAACGTATGTCAACATTTACATTTTTTATATTCCTAAATACATTTATGCTTCAATAAATTATCTTCAACAGTTCTCACTGGGGACAGTTTTTACCCTGGGGCGCCCAGTGGGTTGATTTAGTCATGGATAATAGAAAGGCCAAGTCATTCCTGGCTTAGCTGACACTGATCCATCTTTGGTCACCACTGCAAATAATGTCAATCCATCAAACCTTTATACAGGCTCAGTTATATTACACTAAAGGGTTAACACTAACTTTACAATGAGGAAACTGGAATCGGCGCCTCAGCCAAGTTGCAGATATTGTGGTCGTAATGTCCCCTTCTGTTCCTGAGTTACAGTGTTGAGTAATAGCAAGAAGTGTTTAGAATGTCATAATTTTATCCTATTAGACATTTGTGTTAAATTGTCATGATTAGCGTATGAATTGGTGATGTCGCATTCACAAGAATGTGAGGTCGCCATGACCTTGAACTTTGACTTTTCCTCACCAAAATCTAATCAGTTCAGCTCACAGGAACGGGACAGACGGACAACCCAAAAACATGTTGCCTGAACCTGACCGTCACTGACACGGAGGCATAAAAAAATGCACCTTCATGGTAAATCTATGAACAAACAGAATAAATAAAGCTTAATAAAGGCACACACCTGAATGCTTTAAGTATAACTTTACAAATGCCCTGCAGAGGTCACAGTAGCATGTGCAGCAGACATGAGCATCTGCTGACAGGTGAGTTAGACTAAACAAAGACTAAACAAAGTGAATGTGTGTAGACAGAATAAGCTGCAGTATGTGCTGTAGCCTTTAGCGCCAGGATAGAATATCTCAAGGACGGGTACATCGTGATGTAAACTCTTGGGAAAAGTTCAGTTATTCAGAATATTTCTGCAAGGCCATTAATTAGTGTTGAACAGAGGGCTACATACATGGACAACACACGTGACCTCTGCGACCTGGCCAAGATCTACACAGAAACAGTGAAGGTATTGTTCCTCCTCAACAGGACTCACTCACACCAACAATGCTACTGGTTTTTAAGTTCCCTGTCAAATCCAACTCATATACTGGAGAATTTACTGATAGGAATCATACATTTAGCAGAACTATCTTCTGTAGGATCATATGGATGAATGAGCTCAAGACATCTATTCTCATCATATTAACATTAGACAGCTGGTGAAAAAGATTATGGATCATGTGGGTTAAGCCTCACAAAACCAGAAGAAAAAAAAAAACTGTGATGTCAAGACAAAGACCAAAGCGTCTTTACTGTGAACAGTGACCTGGAAGCACATAATGTGGACTGATTTAACTGTTTCATTGTGGATTCAGCATTTTGATGTCATGATCCGATTCACTGTGAACAGCTGAGGTCACTGTAACCTCAGTCACAAAAGAACTTTACTTTACAGAGCCCCTAGGGGGACATGAGCAAAAACCCTTATTTTGTAGACAGGAAACAAAAGCAAGAAAGAAATGCAAATTTACATGTTAAGTACACTATGGGTAGACTTTTGACATGTTACACTTGATAAAAATGCATTTGTATGTTTTACATATATAAGAGATTTTCTATTTAAAGCATCATAGTTACTTTCCTTTGAATTTACTTTGATTCTTCATAAACTGCAGAGACCTGCATGTCTATTTCAGCATTGAGACTGTAGTTGAGTTCAGCGGAGTGTACTTGAAGTGGATGAATAATGATTAGACATTCATCTAAAATCTCGTTTTATTGTGCCATAAAGTTGTGAACTTTGAGCTTAGGGTCACTGAGGTGGTACAGCAACTCCCAGGAACACACATATTTAGGCCTACACAGAAATACATAGAGAAGAAAGAAGGCAGACATGTTTCTCGTCAGTACATGATTCTGACATGTAGGATAATCAGTCTCACCTGTGGTCAGTTTCATCACATATTTCAAATTTTAAAGCGTGATTTTAAAAAAAAGATAGTTTTCAGATTTCCCTTTTATCAGCTTACCATTGTCTGAGAACATATTATCACAAAGGACATTCGCCGATCCTTAAATCGTTGAGTTTTCATTGTGCAAACGAATTACTATAGGCCTTAGTGTACAATCTCTACAACAGTAAGGTAAAGGTTCATTTCTGGTGCTTAGTCTCCACTGGAGTTTACTACTCTATACTCACTCTGTTAGCTACAAGACATCAAAGAAAATAAAGGTTATATGATTTCAACAAAAGTTAAATACTACCAAGACAGGAGCATTGCATTGTGTCTGCTTCCATAACGTATAGAACTTGTTCTGTGGATAATATCTTGTTTGAAAAACTGACAAGACGACATGAAATATTCATATTTGGCCTTAAGTTTGTGAAAGTCCTCACTGTAAAAAAATAGCAGCAGTTAAGGCAAAAGATTGTTCCCCATGGTAACAATTATACCTGAGTACCTAAAACAATAATGATAAATCTACATACTGTGTCATTGGAGCTGTTTTGGTCTATAGAGAAGCTAAATTTCTAATCTTTTATTAAAGCTATGGAAAAGCTAAAAGACGAAACAAATTGCTGAATTAGATACGTACTCAACAACAAAAAAGCAATCTGTGTTGTTTTAATACAAAAGCAACTAAGAAAACCAATTAAAATAATTAAGAGAATGCATTCATTTTTGTGGATATTAGAATAATAAAAAGTCTCTTCCATCCATTATACAGGCATGTTATGAACCGCCGGAGCTGCAGGCCTGTCAGTGTTGTGGTTTTTGTGCTATAAGCCACTTGTAAAGGACACGTTGGTCTCTCGGCTGATACTCTCCTTGACTTCCACAGGCAGCGTGTCAAAGAGATGGTCCTCCACAACCAGGCAGTTTTTGCGCAGCAGGCGGCAGTTTCCGAGCAGGGCGGGCAGTCTGTCCAGACAGTTTCCTCTTAGCTCCAGCTGAGTGAGCTGGACCAGTTGACCCACAGCCTCTGGCAGCACGGTGAGTGCGTTGTTCCCCAGACAAAGCACCTTCAGCTTGTTGCATCTGAACAGAGGCTTGGGCAGCACCTCCAGCTTGTTGGAGTTGATGGCTAAGTGCTGGAGGTTGTGGAGGAGGCCAACATCTGGAGGGAGCACTGTGATGGAGTTGTGGCCCACATCCAAGTGCCGCAGTTTAGGTAGAGTGAACAAGGCTGGAGGCAGGGTCTCCAGTTTGTTGTGTGAGAGGTGGAGAGACTCCAGAGACTTGACCTGCCCGATGGAGTGTGGGATGGTGATTATTTTGTTGTGCCACAGTTTAAGGCACGTCAGCCTCTTGAGGTGCTGGAAGCTGATGATCTCCTCTATGGTTCGGATGTTGTTAGATTTCAGGTCAAGCTCCTGTAAGTTGGTCAAGCTGAAAATAGCGTGGGGAATCCTCTCTAGTTCACAGCTGTACAGCTCCAGTTCAATGAGACTCGTCATCTTTTTCAGACTATTAAGTACCAGCAGTTTTGTACCATCATTGTGTACTACTAATTTAATCAAGTGTTGCGAAAGCTCTGTGATGTTTGTGGGCATTTTAGTGAGGTTGCTCTTCAGGCACAATGTCTTTAAATGCCTTAAATCTCGCATGGGCTCTAGACCGATCATTTTGTTATTTTCCGAGCTCAAGTTGCCAATTAGGTTAAGCTCCCTCAAATTCCTTAGCAAATACACCCAAGCTGGGATCTCGGCAACATCTGTGAACTTGACATGAAGACAGCGAAGATGGTCACGGAGGAAAGCAAAACCTGTCTGCTCTACTTTGGCGGGACAGTGGCAGAGATGCAGCTCCTGCAAGCTGGTCATCTGGGAGACCTTTGCCGAGAACCTCACCTCGGGAATCAGCTCCAGTTTAAGCACTTCTAAGTCTGTGAGGTCAAACACTGCATTCGGGAGTCCAGAGAGCATGAAAAGGTGCAACTCCTGCTGGTCTTGTGCATTACGGGTCACAAGCTGCCTCAGTTTTTCAAAGGTCCACTCATGATTGAGACTGATCTCCCTCAGCTTGTTTTCACTGACCTCGGACAAGAAGACACCAAAGCGCTTGGAGTAGAGCTGGTCATATTGGTCAACCATGTGTAAGAGGAATGCAAAGTCATTTTTGACATCAGGAATGTCACTAAAGCTGCTCTCTTCCCTGACCTTCTCGAATGAGTACTCTTTCAGAGGTCGTCGAAACACCCAGAAGAGAGAGTACAAGCACGCCATCCCATAGATCAAAATCAAAGCCATGTAGCTAATAAGCAGCTTATTAAGCATGAACGCCATATTGTGCGTACAGAAGAACTTTCTGTATCCTGTTAGCTGTTTAACATCAGGTTCACAGCTGTGCTTAAAATTAATCTTGGCCATAAAGGTTGAAGTGTAGGACAATATCAAAATAAACTTGACAGTTTTGACAATGGTCTGTGCTACATAAAGCTTGTAGATGAAATCACTGTCCTCCACATGAGCTCTGAATTTTCTCACTTTCTCAAATAAGGCTTTAGCCTGCTCCCCATCTTTTTTGTCCAGGATTGTCATACTACTGGGGACCTCCGCGATGGGCTTATCCGCAGAAAACTTCACCCCGAGCATGGGAGTGGATGAGTTGACACCCGCGCCGTCATCCTTCCCC